ATCTCCAGGAGCGATTGGCGAACTATCGAGAAGAGAGAGAGAAAACCAATAAGCGCATTCTCCCGTCTCCTTTATCTGGGGAGAAATCACAGGATCCCAACGCTGCCTGGTAGTACGCCAAATGTGTTCTGGCGCCTACCCACCCACGTATCAACTATTTACACTAACTCAATTTTTGTCCGTCGACTGCGCATACAACATGACATCGACCTGGCGGTTCATTAGAGGCCCGTGTTTTCATCGGCCATCAAGGGTCGCTGCTGCGGAGGTGTAATGGATATTCGGGGAGTTGTTGGGCCCTTCTTTCCGAGTATTCAGACAATTTCCGCCGCGCAAGACCCCGTCTTATTGCTCGCATTTGAGTCTACACAGATGGTGGGCGTCACCAGACCATTGCTGTGTATTTTGCTTTTTAATTGTTATTATTTTCCCCGTTCCCTTCCGTGTTCCTGATGACATTTGCCCTGTAGCTTATCCATCTATCTCGCTTATGATTTTGTGTGTTCGCGGTGCTGTATCTGGTGAGATGTCGCTCTGATATATACCCCTAGTTTCCTCGCATAGCCCCTTGGTTTGCCTCGCTGATGCAGATGGGTTTTTTCTTGATGTGGCGTGGACGGGTTTATAAAGACTGCATGATTTTCCTTTTTCCCCCCATAGACATGTCTATCCAGAAAAAAGAAGAGCTGTGGAATTTTTGGTCGGCGGCTGGCGTGCATGCTTTATTTGAACGAAGTTGGAGATGAGGAGTCCGGAGGTTAGTGACGAACACGATACAGCAACGCCCTACGATGGAGTTGAGTTCAGTTCAAATGATGGGAACTATTGTCGATTTCTTCGACTCCCCAGATGATTTTGGGCCAGTTGTGGTGCAGCAGATCCGCCCCATCATGACTGGTTATTCTATGTCTTTTTCTCTTCTTGTTTCCTTTTTGCACCATCACACACACACAAACCTTCGTTTCAGCACAAATTACACATTTTTTCCCTTATACTCTCACTATCATATTAATGACGAGATACGGCGGTATGCAAAATAGGGTGGTCATCAAAATCAAGGCATGGTTTAGGGTGGGATGAATATTTATTTGTTGATCTATTTCAGGCACGACTTGATAAAAAAGCATGTTTAGGCAATATTATTAGTATATTTATAAAATCATGGGTCTCCATTACTGACATCTCCCATCAACTACTAGTAGTAGCTATCAACCACACCATAATCTAAATGTATATTATGCTGATAGTCCTAATAGTAGTCTATGCAGTGAATTGAGATCTAGGGATGCCGAGAACATCCACTGACACTAGATGGTTACTAGTAGGTAGGCAGCACGTCCCCTTTGTACAGTATCCTTTCTCTTTCATCATCATCATCCCCTCTATACACGACACATCCATCTCTATACCATCGGCCATCCATCCATCCACAAATCCTCAGCCGCATACATTCCCCTCAACTCTAACGTATATTGTATATATGTGCAACCGTTCAGCTTCACCATCACCATATATACAACACGAGCATCATCTTGTGAATGGAGACCAATCGCTGAAGGTCTCCATGCAGCTCCAGTTTACAACAGCAAAAATGTGTCTCCGAATCCTGACTGGATATCGCAAGCAGACTAGACATGTTGTTCGAATGGCGGGGTCGGACTGTTGCTACTCTCCTGTGTACTTTCCTGCTCGTTCTCTCGCACAACCAGGTTGACGGGTCGAGCAGGTTCATCCGCTGTTGCTGCTCCAACCTGGACTTGCTCCTGCGAAGAGGTGGTCCGAATAACAGACCGACCGATCTGGAAGACAGCTGGGTCGGGCGGTTCCCGTCCTGCATGACCGCGCTTCCGGTTTCGGTTGTTCGTGGGCCCTGCGCTGCGTGTCGCAGTGCTGTGCGTGTGCTGCACATTGGCGATCGGCACGGGGTCGGGTTCAGCAATGGTGCTGGTGCTGAGTGCTTGGGAGATTGTCCGTGGGAGATGGTAGCCGGCTTTTGCTAGTGGGATGCAGAGTCCATGGACGATCTGCCGAGAAAGTCAGAAGAGATGTTTCAAGATCTATAAGATCTAGATATTGGTCTGATAGTGTGTGGACTTACTATGCTGCAAATGACCAGGAACCAAACCACGACATTGACGGCCTCGGAAACCTTCGCGGCATCTTCACGGACTTGACCTTCGACGGTGATCTGGTTCAGGAATTCCCGACTGACCGACAGGTAGAAGACAGCCCCGACCCCGATAGGTCCAAAAAATCCAACAAATGCTGCCTGATAGAAGTGCTCAATTTGGTGGATGAGCTTGTGCATGGCAAAAATGATAGGCATGCGTCGGACTAGCAGGATTAGGATTCCCAAAAATATCAAGCGATAGATGGGGATCACGCTGTTGTTCAGGAACGACGACCACGGGCAGACAGCACCGAACCACATGAAGACCGCCAAGTTTAGCAACATATCGATGGTTGGCTGCAAGGAATCATCCATGGTTTCTAGGCGAAACCAGTCACTACCTTCGTCAGCAATTGAACCGAAGCAAGTGGACATGACGTCTTACTCCTGCGTAAACACATTGCCGGCAACAAAGCAGGCCAGGAGATCATCCGTCCCTATCAAGCCACATGTACCAATGATAAACAGCTGCATTCGATATTAGCAAAATGGAATGGCGGAGCCAAGTACTCAACTTACTGAAAGAGCGATAGCAAATACAAGAAAGCTTTCTCGATCCACGTAATGCTTCTCCTCTGCCCAGTGGAGCAACTTACGGGAGAGCCACCCAACTACGATCCCGTAGACGACACTCAAGATCACAGTGTAGACCCAAGTTTCATAGAACCACAAGCCTATGGCTTTCCCAGCGCCTCCACTGTACCCCTCGCCGCCCCTTCCAATGTACTTGAGAAGATACAATCCAAAATAGAGAAAAGGATAGCCGAGACCATCGTTGGCACCTGACTCGGCCACAATAATACGCTGCAAAGGACGAGGCACATTCTTGTCTGCAAATTTGCCCTTCACGATGGAATTGGAGAGCACGGGGTCGGTGGGAGTGATGCACGCACCCACGACAAGAGCATGGAGAAAGGGAAAGTTCGGCACCATGGCCCAAATGACCAGACTGCTACACATCCACATGGCAGCCATCCCAGGACCCAAAAGGAGCGACAGGCTCTTCCATTCTATCTGCAAGTACCGTTTGGGGAGCTGCACCCCGGCAAGGACCAGCTGGACCCCAAGGACGAGGCGGGTGAAGTACAGGGTGATCTCTTCTAGATTTTGCTCGGAACCAAGTGCATACTCCTGGGGTCTTATAAAGTTGGCTGCATGGGGGGAGAAGATCACTCCAGCTAGCAATGAAATCACTGTACAACGTCAGTTATCCACCGTCCAATCAACGACAACACGCATTGCCGAGGAGAGATCGGGAGTAGCGGGTGGAAGGTTGAAAAAGGCAGGACGGACATGCTTCAGAAAGATAGAATCTCTCCTTGAACAGGTAGGACACCAATCCGAAGACGGATATAAATCCTCCCAGCGTCGCACAGACGATGTTGAAGTTGATCAACGATAGGGTAGGCATCTTGTCGTTGCGCTCCCCCAGGGTGTGCGGTGCACAACGTCTATTGTTGATTATTGCTTTGATCCCAAGCAAGGATGCCGGAATCCTGAAGGTTTACAACTCCCTGTTCAGCTGGAGAGCGCGGGGTAAAAGAAGGTAAAATGTGGGGGAGAATTAGAATAATCTCCAGAACTTGACACAATCAAACTAAGATCACAAGCACGTGTTATTCAATCATAATAGTATAGATGTCTTTGATGGCAAGCTCTCCTGGCATCGGAAGAATGGGGAATTCCTCCAGCAGCTGGATCTTAAAACAGGCGAACGTCGTCACCGACAGCACGAGTTTCCAGCCCGATAAACTTCGGGGGGGTGGGAGGAAGTAAAAAGGGCAATACGAGAGACCAAACACGAGGCGAGCAGATGCAGGCAAGCAAGCACAGACGCGACGAATGACCTCGGGCGACGATCAGACTCGATATGAGCGAGTATGCGCCAGAAGCGATGTCAGTATGCAGCGGTACGTGTGAGTGGAAGGGAAGAGGAAGAAGAAGAGGAGTAAAAGACGCGGGCAAATCGGGGGGAGAAGAAAAAGTTCCGGGGATCAAGTCAGTACCAGTTGGGTTTAAACGCTGGTGTGGCCCGTGCCGCTTTCGGGAAAGGCACCACCTCGTGGTACGCATTTCTACACTACAAGTGACTCTTTCTTTTAAAAGCAGGCAGCCCTGCTGTCCGTCATACAGGTCATATCATCTACAGCTGGCCCAGCTAATGCCAAGTAAGGCATCAATTCATGCTGCAGTTCTAGGTTGAATCTCTCTCCCGCCCCGGGGTGGGACACGTCATTTCTCAATGAGACCAACAGGATAGAAGTCACGGATCGCAACGCAACATTCTACCCAGTACCTTGATACACAGAACCCATCGCCATCATTGATCTGTGTCAGAGAGCAATCTACGAGGGTGCCTCGAGATTGGTAGCTCAGAAATCGTCGTCATCATCCTCAAAAGCCTCGTCCGGAATGTCTCTGACTGCTTCCAATGCTGCAGCCTTCTCCGAAACTCCTCGTCGAGCACCACTCACCGCCAGACGATCGGCGGCCTCATTCCCAGGGTGGGAGCTATGTCCCTTGACCCATTCGAACAAGGTCTTCACCTTCAGCTCATTGCGTTCTTCGATCTTCGACAGAATGGATTCAACCAAGTCCTTGTTGTCCACCGGCTTGTTGCCAGCGGTCATCCAGTTGTTGCGCCGCCACTTTGTAAACCACACCGTCACACAGTTGATCGCGTATTGGCTATCTGTAAATATGGTCACGTCCCGATGTCGTGGAGCTATGTCAAGCGCCCGGAGGATGGCCGTCAGCTCGGCACGCTGATTGGTCTGGCGACTACCTTTGAGGGGCTCGGAAACATTTCTGCTGGGAGAACAGGCGTCAGTATATGCCAAAGGCAAACCCTCCCAGGGAATAAAGAACACACGACAACGCTAAGGTGAGTGTCAGGGGGGGACAAACCGTGAGTCGCCAGGTCCAAAGTAAACCCCGACACCCGCTGAGGCAAGCGCTTTGCCATTTTTCAAAGAACTACCGTCCGTGTAGATGCGCAGCATCCCCGGTGGACCAGTAGATTTCATCTTGGTCGCGGTCTTCTGATCCTGTGATTTATAGACCACTTTCCCTGTTTTGGGATCCAACAATACGTTGGGGTCAAACCCATCCTCCGTTCCGGTCGGCAGAGGGCCAGTCCCCGCCTCAAAAGGTATACCCTGCGCATCCGCAGGGACCCCGTTCATCAGTCCCGGTGCACCGGCGAGCTTCTGCGATTCCGGGGTCTTTCCGAACGTAGCGCCAGATCCTTGCCCTTCCCTTGCAAACTCCTCTGCTTCCTCCCTTGTCGAGAATTTCTTGTAACGCGGTTTGGGAAATCCTTTAATCTGCTCCTGCGCCTTTGCCCAGTCCGTATAAACACCGGGTATTCGACCACGCTGGACACCGTAGAATCTCGTGGGTTCAGAATCCAAGGGGGTTCCGCCGCGCACAGCGGGGGCACGAGTCCCGGTAAGGAAGGCATTTGCTTCTTCGTAAGAAGGGAAGGCCTGGACTGAAAGAATAGGTCAGCTTCAGAAGACAGGATGCGGCCTATCCGCGGGTCACTTACAGACAGCTCCCTTGTACCCGGTGACCTGGGTCAGACAATCATGCCAATCATAGTAAACACCGGGCTGATAGCCAGCCTTCACGGCGTAGTATTTCGCCGCTGATGCGCGCTTGCGCTTCGTTCCGGCTACGGCTGAGGGAGATTTCGAAGTCGGAGATGCTTTCGTGGCGGGACCTGGAGTGGGAGAAGGGGTGGTGGTGGTGTCGTTCATGACGTCGTCCCCGCAATTCGGCGCGGTCGAGAGGAAGGTTTTGAGGAACGAGGAAGGCTGGGAAGGATAATTCGAATAGTGTCTCTTTGAATGATTTCTGTTGCGCGGATCAACTGAACGAGATCCAGGGGCCAGAGACCTTAGCCTGCAGCTCGAAATGGAACACCTCGGTCCCAGCTTCGAAGCTGTCAGGCAAAACCAAGTGAGACGCGTGATGGAAACAATCTACCGCTCTCTGACTTGACCCTATCACTTATGATTTACAGGATTGAAATCTGGACGATGGTGTTGAGAAAGGAGTTCAGACAAACGCGGGTCTAAAGTTTTGGTGGACGAGCGGGGGGGTGTGGCAGAGGTCAGAGAGGGAGGAGGGGGGGGGGGGGGGGGGTGGGTGTGGTCAACCCATCAAGCAAATCCCCGACCATTATGCGGCTGGATCCGATGCGCATTTCAATGGTGTTCCGGCTGACCTTGACGACAAGCTCACTTTCTCTGATGGCGCTCATTTGTTCTCAAATCTAGAAGCAACCTGAACACTGTCAGGTCTGTTAATCATCGATGGTCAACAGGGACAGGCCCTGGGTCGGATTGTGGACCCAACGGGGTTCAAGCATTCGGATTGAAGCATTGGTTCTAAATCGCTGAACAGTCTGGAGACTTTCCAGACGATGTTGAAGATGCATGAACAGAAGTCAGAGGACCCCTTTTTCCCCCTTCCCTTGTTCCAGTGGTAGTGGATTGCCTGATTGACTGGGTGGTCTTCCTCCTGCTGCTGGCTCTTTCATCACGTGACTTCTGAGTAGATCGGCTGGTCAGGAACTATGACGGATACACCATTGTCACAGTGACTGCATGAGACTATCATTCAGTATGCCTTAAAACTGTTATGCTGCATGCTTGTTGGGTGGTTTGCCGGGGTTCGAAGTACCATGTGATGAAGCAGTTGAGCGAATGCTGTGAACCATGAACTGCAGGTCTAATACTAGGACTTGATCACTGGATATATAAGTGCACTGACAGCCAGGCAGCTAAAGTCAAGATTTCCTACGTGGCTAGTAGAGAACTAACATGATGTAACTAAGTCCAATTGTAGTAGTACCACATAGAATAATCGGAGAGCTGCACCCGCACACCACTATATATAGGCCTTCATAATCGTGTGCGTTCCATTGGCACCGCAGTACTAAATCATAGTATTTCCAAGGCCATTTGTGCACATTTTTACTTCAGTTGACAACAACCGTTGAATCAGAACATTACAAAATACGGTCACCATGATCTTCTCGACTACAGAAAGCCAGAATGAACTTGTTCAATGATTACCTAATATTCTATTTCAATTTGTGATGAAAGTGTCAGCCTTCAATGTGTCCGTGGTTTCTCCATGCCAGCAATTGTCCAGGGCGCCATATCTACGATACATACCGGCTCACCGAGCATTACAAGCATGTCTCCGAACCCTGGTGGGAAATGAGACTACAATAAACTGTGCAGCAAGCTGTTTCCTGTCCACGTCATCCAGCCACGCATTGCCGTGTGGAGAGTTTTGGGTCCAGTGGGGTGAGTACACAGTACCCTGGCAGCTTTGGTTATCCATAGTGATCTACTGGAAGCTTTGATATAGATCGCAATCGCCATACAGATATTCAGCAGTTCGTAAAGTCCCTATGAAACTCATGCAGAAACGTAGCTGATCCTTTTACTTTAGAAAAAGAAAACGGAGAGTGAGCGAGAAACGACCTTTTTTATTAGTGCCGCTCCAGTTCGCCAAAGTATTTTTTGGAATGATCACATCTGCTCGTCTCAAGTTTGGCTCCGAGTGCAGCTCCTTAAGTTTGCATTCTGATCAATTCACCAAGGAGACACATGACCTGTTTCTTGTTTATCTTCGATCGCCTCATCTTCCCACCTCAACCCACCTCATTATACCAAATTGTCTGAGCGAAAAGGGATAATGAGACGCTATGTCCGTCCAATTGACCTAACCGAGTATCCACCATTCTCAAGCGACTACCTAAGCAAGTCTCTGGGCAAAGCATTCGAAAATAAAGTGATGAATGAGTCCGCGTTCCGAGGCTTGTTCACACCCACCAGGACTGACCGGACAAAGGACGCCGCTTGCTCGAAACCATGATATCCAAGCCTCGTTTGAGCTTAGAAGCCCCTCGTTGAATCCAGGCTCAAGCTATTGGAAGAAATATCCCTCTATCAAATAAGCAGGGTGGCTTTGCCGTTATTCCGACATATGATGCTGATGGCCCGTGTTAATCTCGGTGTAGTTCCCGGTTTCGTTTGCCGGCATTGTGAGAGAAAATACCGGCCATTTCCACTTTCTTCATCGTGAGACCCACCACCTCAGCCCTACTGAGTGCATTTCGTTGAAGACTTTGAACTAGCATCTCCGTATCTATTCCGATGACTAAGCATCTACATTTCATCCCAAGGATCCATCAGGACTGACTCGACGCCTAAGGGTTCTTGTTTCTCCACGCAGATCGGCAAACCCAGCAGAGGGCAAGATGACGCGTTGCCTGGGGTTAGACCGTTGCCAATCACCCCCGAAAGGGCCGAAGTTATCGCGTCCTACGGGACGCCGGCGGTTTCACGAGCCATGAACACCAGAAGACCTGCGGATTTTCCGACTTGGCATCCCGGAAGCTGTATACTCGGAACAGGCACGCTGGCTAGCAAAGACTGGTTAAGAGAGTAGCCATACGTAAGATACGTGGATAAATAGTACAAGAGATGTCCATCATGATCTAGAAATCTGAACTATTCTTTCCTTAGATAGGTCTCACTCGTTCCTTGCCTGCTTTCCCAGTGTTTCCTTCTGTGTCATTCCTTTTTCCATCGTTGCTCACTCTTTATGGTTTCTTTCAATATGAAAGCCCTCTCATTTATCGTGACTGCGGTCCTTCTGGGCCTCAGTGGTGCATCTTCGAACTCCAGCCAGGGGCTGTTGAAGTCAGATGGTGGTAAGCACTGAACACTCACCTGTACGCCTTTGCTGAGTCGGTCCGCTAATGTCGCACAGTGGCCCTGGGAGACTGGGACTCCGCTTACCAGAAGGCCTCTTCCTTCGTCGCAGGCCTGACCACTGATCAAAAGCTGGCTTTGATCACGGGCAGCAGCGTCAATTCCACTAATAGCAGCTTTAGTGCCCTTACTTTCCTTGATGGTGACATGGGTCTACAGGACTTCTTCTATGTCTCCGCTTTCAGCTTGTCTTCAGCGGTTGCCATGACCTGGGACCGCGACGCCATCTACGCACAGGGCAAAGCAGTCGGCTCTGAGTTTTACAAAAAGGGAATCCAAGTGGTCGCTGGCCCTACTTCTCAGCCATTGGGACGATCGCCCTGGGGTGGCCGTAACGTTGAGGGCTTTGGTCCCGACCCTTATCTCAATGGATTAGCTACTGGGTTAACAACAAGGGCCTACGTCGACGCTGGTGTTATCCCTGGTGCTAAGGTAAGTAGTAGTCCATAAATTCATTGGATAAACCTGTCATTTCACTAATTTTGAGCCGCATCACTTTACAGCACTTCCTCCTGTATGAACAAGAAACCAACCGGACCAGTACTGGCGGCGGCGGCGGCGGTATGCCCTCCAGTGGTGGAATGGGACCTGGATCGTCGAACACTTCATCCTTGGGTGCCCGGCCTACAGGATCAATGAACCGTCGTGCTGCCAGTTCTGGCTCCGAGTCGGACAGTGGCTCGGCACCTTACTCCTCCAATGCCGACGATAAGACCCTGCATGAGACTTATCTTTGGCCTTTCTATGACTCCGTCAAGCATGGCTTGGGTGCTGTGATGTGTGCAATGACTAAAGTCAATGGCACTATGAGTTGCGAGAACTCTGATTTATTGATGAAGCATCTGAAGACTGAGCTTGGCTTTCCGGGTTTGGTATGGCCCGATATGTTTGCCCAGAACAGTGCTTTGGAGTCTGCCGTCGGCGGCGAGGACTACGGTTCCAGTAGCATTTGGAGCACCTCCACCATGGAAAAGCTGCTATCCAATGGCTCCCTCAGTGAGGCCCGCTTGGATGACATGGCTATCCGCAATCTGATGGGCTACTACTATGTAAACCTGGACAATGGGCTCCAACCGGAGGAGCAAAGCGAAGATGCGTACGTGTACGTGAGAGGCAACCACTCTAAGCTGATTCGGGAGAACGGGGCGAAGTCGATGGCCCTGTTGAAGAACAAGAATGCTCTGCCATTGAAGAATCCTCGTGTGATGGGTGTGTTTGGTGCTCACGCTGGCCCTGTCATGGGAGGGCCAAACATGGCCCTGGATGTCGAGGGTTCCGGACCGACATACCAAGGTCATTTGGCCACTGGCACTGGGTCTGGCCAGGCCTCCTATCCTTACCTAGTGACACCTTATGTTTCACTGACTAACAAGGCCATTGAGGATGGTACCATGATACGGTGGGTGCTTAATGATACGTATTCCTCTTCGAGCACTTCCGGCTTGATCTCAGAGGGAACTGACAGCACCGCTGTGGACCCCTCGTTTACCAACTATGCCACGAACTCTGATGTCTGCCTCGTCTTTCTGAATGCTCTGTCTGGAGAAGGCGCTGATCGCACCGAGCTGTACAATGATGACCAAGATACCATGGTCAACACCGTCGCCGATAACTGCAACAACACAATCGTCATCATCAACACTGTCGGCCCGCGCCTGATGGACCATTGGATCGAACATGACAACGTTACTGCTGTCCTCTACGGATCCCTCTTAGGCCAGGAGTCTGGTAACTCCATTGTCGACGTTCTCTATGGAGACGTGAACCCTTCTGGCCGCCTCATTCACACGATCGCCAAAAACGAAAGTGACTACAACGTCAAAATCTGCTACACGGCGCAGTGTGACTTCACCGAAGGTAAACAGCTTTGACATATATCTCTTCCACATACCCTTTGCAAGTACTTATTCATATACCCTTCATAGGTGTCTATCTCGACTACCGTTACTTCGACGCCCACAACATCACCCCTAGATACCCCTTCGGTCACGGTCTCTCCTACACTACCTTCTCCTACTCCGACTTGAACATCGAGAAGCCTGCCACACTTTCCAAGTACCCCACTGGTGAGAAAGCTGTCGGAGGTAACAGCGACCTCTGGGATATTGTGGGAAGCGTCTCCGTGAAGGTCGCCAACACCGGCTCGCTCGACGGCGCCGAAGTCCCCCAGCTCTACCTCGGGTTCCCCACTGCTGCGCAGCAACCCGTTCGCCAACTCCGTGGCTTTGAACGCGTCGAGATCGCTTCCGGCAAGCAAAGCCAGGTTACCTTCAAGCTGCGCCGCCGTGATATCTCCTACTGGGATGTCCCGGCCCAGCAGTGGCTCGTTGCTTCGGGTGACTACAAGGTCCACGTGGGTGCAAGCTCTCGGGATCTGAAGCTGAATGGCACTTTTACTGTCCAGACTTCCTCTTAGATGTAAACTAGACATAGCAGGGAGGGAACTTTATAACATTTCTCGATAGACAGTGAATATTGTTGTCATTCCATACTCATTTTTTACTTCTTCTCCCTCTAATGATCAATAACAGCACCTTTCTAGCAAGTAACTTACAGGCGCCCGGAGAGGTGCGTAGAGAGGGTCGTGGGATGTTCCTGTCCCTGATGCTAACAACAGCTACCGTGGTAGCCGTTATGTTACATGATAACTGACTGACATTCAAATTATCCTAAAACGGCCACTTAAAAGAGCATCTTTCTAAAATACTCTAGCGTATTCACACCTAGATTCCTCAAGTTCAGCAACAAGCTTGATCATAGACCTACTACACATCGAATCATATCAATCCTGAAACCGCAAGATGCAACAGTTACTTCATTGAGTATGTCGTAAACTAAAGTAGTATACATGTGCAAATGAATACCTAGTATGGATACCTAATGCCTGTAAAACTATAGCCTGGCTCCTGGCTTTTCTGCCTCTGTGACCCAAAGCAACAGCTCATCTTTCCCGAACTCTTCCATGACTTCTACAGACAGATTCACGCGGACTTCCCAAGCGCTTTCACCTCTCTTTGGAGGATTCTTGTCAGGTAGAATCAGAGTCATCCCATCAATCCGACAGTCGATGGTATCAAAGTCCAGCAGGGGCCCCAGTTTCGTGCCCCAGTCGGAGGCAAAGATGTTGGCTTTTCGAAGGCTGGACATCGTGACCCCAGAAGGGGCACCACAAACTGTCGAGTCGCCATCACACTCTTCCACACGGCCTATGAGGCCGCGAATCTGCTCGTCATGAATAGAATTGCATTTGACTCGAGACATCAAGGCTAGCTTGAGCAGTGCATTTATTGTTTCTTCGTCCATTCGATTTCGTGTTACGAGGGTGGCTTCCTGTGGAGTAGGGATATCGTTCCAGTCACACTGGGTTTTTGCCAGCACGAGGCTATTTCCTAGGTAGCTCCTCGGGAGGGGAGGCTGTATTATTGAGCGGACCTCTATACACCTGGATAAAGAGGATACACGCGGCAAGTCTGACGAAAGCTCGGAAGCAACCCGACGACGAGCACGGGATACACAAAGCCATACTAGAGCAGTCACCACATCGTCACTTGAGATATTGTCAAGTTTGTACTGGCTATCAATTGGTGAATTTTCCTGTGACATTGAATGGCCCTTGGCAAACTCGTGGGCAAAATTGTCGCACGAATTTTTAAGACAATTCACTCTGTCTGTATGCATAGTATAACGGCGACAGATGACTGACTTGGACTGGTATTCATGCAGCCCATAATCGTAGCGAGTCTTGTGATATGCATCCTCGAGGTCATGGTTGCTGTTGGTGGTAGTTTTATTTATCCTCCGCCTTGTCTGCTCTTCTTTTTCGAGGTTCATCGGAAGACGCCCGGGAGCGGCGCTCTTTCGACCCGGTCCAGAGCAAAACCGAGACAGGGCGTGCAAAATTACGGTGACGCCTACTGAATCCATTACCTGATGATGCCACGCGAGGCATAAGATGAGTCCGTCTCGCATGACATTGGCCTGAAATCGCACAGCAGGTATTGGTTGAGAATTTGAGACTGTTGTCGGAATGTGTAGCATTTCATAATCGATGACCGGTGAGGCCAAAGCATCTGAAATGGTGTGTTGATGATGTTTGACATTCAACATGGGGCATTAGTAGAGGTCCGATGCTGTCGGTGGCTGCAACTCTAAAATGTTTCTTCTATCCTCCTTCTGCACTCGAGCAACATTGCCTGCCAAGAAGGGCCATTGGGATATCAAGCCCGACAGACCCGACTCTATCGCGACAACTGCCTCAGACGGCTGTTCAGGTCGAAAGGACATATAAGCGAATACATGATATGGAGGGAGCAAGTGGTCTAGAGGCGTGAGGGTATAAGGCTGGAACGAAGGGGTTTGGGCTTTGTCGGTCATTTTGATCTGTTGATAGGTCACGCTGACTTTCATGAAGGAACTGGTCCCTTACGAACATATAAATATCGCCGTGGCGTATAATGGACCAGAGAACTAATTTGTCGATGAGGACAACCAAGTTAAAGCTCATGAGCAATCGGTGACATCTCAAACTTTGACATCTATGGTTAGATTTTGTTTGTGGGTATAAACCGGTTTCTTCGGAGTTAGAGCTTGTAATAGCATTTAAACGACGACTGTTTTGTTTTGCCTACTGCCCAATAAATGGCTATGGCTTGTCGATCACCAGTTGATGGTAGTTTCGGTCTTGGAGTGTAACCCACAATGCTAGCAGCGCCCATGGTAGTGGTGAACTATGGTAAGCTTTCGTGTCGGGCAACGCTCCATTGAGATGTCAACCTGGATTTTATTGAGCTGTTGACCTGTATGCTGTTTGACCAAAGTTTAGATACAGCGTATGTAGAGATCTGATTCCATTGATAGATTTCCGATGCCATATACCTGGGCTGTCATCGTTGATCCCACTGCACTTCTTGAACGAGAGGTAGTTGCAATAGCTCATCCCACATTTTGATCAATCGAAATTGTGACTTCTTGGAAGTGACTAGTTCAAAGATCACTCACCCCACTACAAGGGGTTAATGCCCGGATGAGGAAGATTGGTCGTGGTTGTAGATGGTGGGGAATTCCACAAGATGTGAGACCTCGTTTCCCAAAAGAGACCCCGACACCATGACTCAGCATACAACCGCTGTTTAACCAAGTAGCCAGTAGCTACTTGAACAGCTCAAGAATCCCCAATTACACTGAATTGCAGGCAGCTTCGAGCTTAAGGAATCCCAAAGAAGAGCAAAATGTCCGATAAAGACCTCCTCACCACCATAACCAAAGAACTCGCCGGGACTCAGTATACTTCATCCTCTCTGATCCCACTAAGCGGGGGAACCGCCAACTTTGTCTATCGGGCTCAGCTCGACCAGCCGCTCCCAGATGGAACAAAATCCGTTATTGTGAAGCACACAGAGGCGTTTATTGCCCTGAATCGGGAATTTAAACTTCCCGCTGAACGCTGTGTCGGTATTCCCTTGTGCAAAGTCGGGACGTACGCAAGTACAAACATCGTATTGACATATGCCATATAGCTTTTCGAAGAATCCATCTTGAAGGCTCTCGACGGGTTTCCTAGCATACTGGACAGAAGCAAGCATTGCGAGACGAACCCTCAAGAAGTGTTAGTCAAAACGCCTCGTCTCTTCTCATTCAATCGCGAAACCTACACTGCTGTTCTAGAAGACCTCCCCGATTCTCTGGACCTTAAGTCCTTCTTAATTTCCACAGCTGCTTCCAACAACGTGACTCAAGAATGGGCATCTTCTATAGGCCGTGCACTAGGGAACTGGCTACGATCATTCCATCACTGGGCTGATAATGAGACCCAATCAGGGGTGGCGGCAGAGATGGACAAGAACCAGTATATGAGAGACTTGAAGTTTATGGTCAACTATGATGCCCTCGTGAACACAATTGATAAATACCCGACTGTACTGGGAGGCTCTCGGGATGTGTTTAGCAAGGTTCGGGAAATGACGGCTGCAGAGTTGAGTCAAAAGGACGGAAATGGTTTTGGAATAATCCATGGAGACTTTTGGTCGGGAAAGTACGTAGTTCTTTGCCTCGATACATCAAAAGGAGAAGCAAACTGATGCAATATAGTGTCCTCATCCCCAAGGTGGCCCTAGAGCAACCATATCACCTTCCCATATTCATCATCGACTGGGAACTTTGCCACTGCGGTGCTCGTGCCCTCGATCTAGGACAGATGTTTGCTGAGCTATACCTATTGAAGCATTTCAAGGACATCGATGCCGCGACGTGGATAATTCAAGGCTTCATGAAAGGATATCAGGGCCTGGACGATGAGACGGCCTTTCGGGTATTGATCCATGTTGGCGTCCATTTCATTGCCTGGGCACCCTTAATTCCTAATTGGGGTACCTCACAGCAGGTTGAAGATGCTGTTCGTCTGGGTAGAGATATCGTCACCAAGGCATGGGAAAAGGATAGGAGCTGGTTTGAAGGGGTATGGAAGTCACTGTTTCGAGATCAGTAGATCATTCAGAAGCTAAACTCTGTTCTCTATGTATACGATTAGCTGTGATATACTCTAGTAGGTTGAGATATAATTCACATAACTGGCCCCGCCCTTGCAACATAAGCCAAACTACCAAGGGCGGTTGACCGAGAGATTGTGCACAATGCTGGTGATTCAGTGACAGATTTCCCTTTTCTAAGAATAGACGCACCCTACCTTATTGGGTAGTTGGGTCAAACGGCGGGACCTTCTGCACTCCAACCTCAATGATTGTGCTTTTGAATCCTCCTAGCATCTCATCTTTAGACACTTATCACGTCACTGAACATTTACAAGCCATGGCTCCATCAGATAAGAAGAAGCGAAGCCATCTTAAATCGAAACCCTCGTCATCCAAGCGTCGCAAGACCGCAAAGGCAGGCCCTGAAGCACCTGGCCAGTCCGAGGAAGCTGACCCTCAATCGACCATCCCATCCCAAGCTCAGCCTACGAGCCCGGTACACTCATCGTCCAGCGACCTGTCGTACAAGATTTATGATGGCCTCGACCGCTATGGCGATCTTGAACCGTCCGGTATCATAGTCGATGTCGAGCTACCAGCTGATATCAAAGAGTATGCAGATAGCACGGTCTTGAGTATCAGTAGGCTCCGAAATGCTGAGCAGGGCGGAACAGAATCGTTTCAGGAGCAGATAGCTGAAGTCAACAGCAGACGCAGCATGCACCATGAATGGGTGGGGCTTATACACAAGGCCATTCTTCGCCTGAAATTAGAGAACAGCGTATCATTCACAACTGTGGAAGACAAAGGTATGTGACACAGAATATCCTAACGTTTGCATATTGTTAGCATCAGATCTGACCTCCCAAAAAGATTGGCACGCAGACATACAGCCCAAACTGCTGCAGAGTCCCGAAAACATATCTCGACCAGACATTTGTGTTGGGCTGCGTGAACTTCAGATACGAGAAGTTCTGTATCACAAATCTGACGATGCAGTTGCAGAGGAGTTCTGGAATAAGCTGAAAGTAGACGGTGGGGTGATCAGTGACCCATTTGCGAAGCCGCAGTATCTGCGATTTCCATTCTTCATTGTGGAAGTCCGGTCCGACACTGCTGGAGATGACCTACGCCAAACCCAGAATCGAGCTGCAGTTGGTGCTTCTCGCGCGCTTTGGATGCTTCAGATGCTCTCTGCAAATAGATGTGAGGTGAAAAGCGCTAAGCCCAAGAAGAGCTTTGATATCACCAATCTTCCGGTATTTTCATTTGTTTCGGATGGCGCAGCATTCCAACTCTGGGTCCATTATCGGAATATAGTTGGGGGAGAGAGCTTCGGCAAGATAGAATACTGTTCTGCACATCTGAAATCATGGCATGCAACAAGTGAAAAAGCCTGCTCCAAGATCCTGAAGAGCATTTACGCTATTCTAAGATGGGGAGTTGGTGAATATAAGATTAAGGTGGCCGAGGCGCTCAAGTCATTTATGTGATGGTACTTCTTCGACGATTGATCTTGCTGGTTAGTGTTTGTCCCATTTGCTTCGACTGCTCTACAAGAAAGGCGGCTGATCTCCCGGTCGTAGAACCTTCAATGCTGACTGGAGAGTATGTTTGGGCTCTGTAAGATGGCTATATCTCCCGTTCCTGGGCCACCATACTTGTTACTTGTCTGAGAATTGGAGTACGTTGGGTTGATATGGTTAAGGAGGTATTCAGCATCTCTTCTTTTTCTGGTTACTTACTGGACATTGGATTGGTCACTCTTAACGCTGGCTGTTTACTATTAACACAATGTCTCGTTTTTGGGTCGCTGAATATTTTCTCTTCCTTTATCAAAACTGGATATTATCATCGCTTTATCGTCAAAATATGAATAAATTTGCTACACTTGTTGATGGTCATTAGAAATTCAAGTTCTTATTAATTCATCAAGAAGATTACTGTTACGAGTCGCTTTGCAGTAGACGGGATATATACACTACGGACAGTCAAGTCAGACTTGCAACTAGTATCGATTACCACCATGTCTAATTTCTGTATGCAGGCTACATAGAACAGAGATGCTAGGATATAGACACCCAATCTTGGCGTAGCTCATTTCATAATTTGGCACGGTATGTGCTCCGGATACCTTCCAGCCCTGACGGTCCATCGTAGATTTGCTGTTCCGCAAAGCGAGTGTTGATCTGTTTTCCTGTCGGTTAGAAAAGACTAGGAGAAATGGAAGACAGATGAAGTGACACTTACATGCTGGGGTCCTAGATCTTCCACACGCTCAACACCAAGTAACCGCATGCATGTCTTGGTTTCGTCGGACAGAACTAAAATTTCTAGTAAGCAGACGTCCTTTCTGAATCTCGGATCCATATACGTACTCTGCAGGGTGCGCTTGACGCCCTCGACACCGCCGGCTCCTAAGCCCCACAACGCAGGACGTCCAATACCAACACCTCTTGCGCCCAGACAGAGGGCCTTGACAACGTCTGTGCCACGGCGGATACCGCCGTCAATCCATACTTCCAACTTATCAAAGACTTCCGGGCAATACTTTCGAATTTCGAGTAATGTGTGCACAGCTGGAGGAGCCGTGTCGAGAGCACGCCCACCATGGTTGGAAAGAATGATGCCCTTAACCTGGGGGGTGTGAAGAGATGCAATGTAAGCATCCTCGTGGGTCTGAAGACCCTTGAGGACAATGGGTAGATCGGTATGCTTAGCCAACCACGGAAGAGTCTCTTTCCATGTGAGGGTCGGATCGGTGCCTGCGAAAAGCTGACGTCCGACACCACCGCCTCCGTTGTTGATCTCGCCCGCAGACTTGTCTGCAGCTTTTGTGGCGCTCGGAACTGGTGCTGATGCGCCCACGGTGTTGCCACGCTCGTCGTCCTCTCTCTTTCCAGGCACAGGCGCATCTAGAGTGAGAACAATGAACTTGATCGCCTTGAGCTTGTTTATACGTGCCAGCATGGCCTCGCTCTTCTTCCGGTCTGTTTGTACATACAATTGCCATCCAAATACTTGGTCTGGCGCAGCGTCCTGAACGATCTGCTCTGGTGTCATTGAAGCGTTGTTGGAAATAATCTGCATGGCCCCGAAGCTGCGACAGGCCTCGGCAATGCCAGCTTCACCTGCTGGGTGACCCAAGCGAGCCATAGCTGCGGGGGAGACATAGATGGGCATGCCGATCTTGTTGCCCAGAGCTGTAGTATCCAGGTCACATCGCGTGCAGTCGATGAATACCCGTGGCCGCAGCAAGATGGACCGGTAAACTTCAGTATTGAAATGTTTCGTGATTTTGTCGTCAGATGCTGAGTAGTAGTAGGCCCAGGCTTTCTTGCTGACATTTTTGGTGGCCACTTGCTCGATATCATCCATGTTGAGTAGACTCTCCATCGGAGGCGGGCCTTCCTTCACCCCCGCATCTGAGGGTGGCTCCGCTTGTACTTTCGGCAGAGTGTCGGCATTTACCGTTCCTAGGAATGATTCGGGCTTCAGGTTCTCCTCTAGAATGCCTGGAGGATGAATAGGGTCATATTCCTCGGTGGCATCTTTTCCAGCAAGCTTAAGAATTATTTTGGCACCACCAGGGTGCTCTGAGAGAAAGTCGGTGACCTGATTGAATTGCAATATTTAGTTTCGGATAAGCAACAAAGAGATGTATGATTGGGTGAACATACATCGTAAACCTTTCCGTAGAGAATTACCCAGCAACTCTCTGGAGTGTTGTGTTTTGCGACTGAGGGTCTTCAGTCAGTTTCCAAGACTGTGACTCTATCCTGAGATGACAATTGCGCGCTGCATGGGGGACTTCCGGGGTATACTAACCTTCCGCCGCGTCGAATACCTTGCTCATCGTGCTATTCAAAGAGATGTCTGGATCGTAGCAATTGGTCCTGTGACAATTGTCGAAAGCGACCCGCGAGAGGGGGGAGAGACGAGGAGAAGTCAAGAATAGTTAAGAGAAAACGACGGTAGGAGATGAAGTGTTCGGAGCGGTGGCCTCGAGATGCCTCGCATTCAACTAACCCGGTTAAACCCACCCCATTTACGGCTCGGCCTGAACTCCGACGAGCAGTCAAAGTTGGGGGCGGCGATTGAATTCCGCCTGTTTTGGGAAATGTCGGTCGCCGACGGGGAATGCTTAGAGAAGGATGACCGGCCATTGGTGGACAATCCCGAGACCCTTGATGTCATGGCTCAAGGCTGTCTCCAGTTTTCTTTCGGAATATTATCTATATGCTCTTGAGCTTCATCTCTTTGATATGAGCAACCTATCTGCAGCTCCAGGATTGACCCCGGAAAGGAAGTCCTCCACGTAGCAAAGAGCTACAGCAGACGATGCAGCTTAACGCCAAGTTGAGCCATCAGGTGCCATGGTCGCGTGCTATTCCTCTTCCAGTGCAGCTAGACCACGTGAAAGACCAGGCTGCTTAGCTTAATCCCCTCATCATCCTTCGACTTGCCCAACGTCCATTTCAGAATTTTCATGTCGACTCGTCGTCTTTTAGAGCAGCATACGTCTTGGGGCCTAACTTCAGCCAAAACGGAAGTCACCCCGGTCCGCCTCTTATCTTCAGACGAGGAGCCAAACGGTCGCCTCTTCACTCCAGTATCCCGTCGATCGGAGGACTCGAGTCGTACCACTCAGATATTACATGACACGTCGTGATGTTCGAGGTGCGTTGGCTGACTGGAACATACCACACGGCTTACTCTTCCTACAATGAGATTTGCATCTATAATGGTGTCTCCGTACTGACTGGCACCAGCGTCGCGCCGCGGACCGTTACCGGCTGCGAATGCACCGTGCCCGCACAGTCGCGCTAACTTCGGATGAGATTGTCGAAGTACGGGCAGCGCAGCGGACTTTCGAAGGCGCCTACATCCGTACGGCTTTATCCCAATTCTCCTTTGCCCTAGTGGTATTGAAGATCTTCACCAGCGAGTTCTATAGCACTGGTGCGCTTTTCGCCATCTACGGCACGGGCGTGCTTATCATCGGACTCTTCCGTCGCCAACAAGGCAACCGGCAATTCTTTTCCGAGATAGGGGAAGATGGCATTCGTCACAAGTTCAGAACTAGTGGAAATGCCGTGGTGGTCTTGACGGCCCTTAGCATTGCCGCCTACGCGACCCTTATCGCGCTGACCGTGAGGCTGGACAAATAGGCGGTCACGCCTCGCCAAGACACTCTAGGCAATATGCCTACAACCTCACTGCGTACCTGCCAAGTGCCAAGTATATGCAGAATGCGACGGGCTCATTCCCAGGTTTCCTTCCTCGCTTCCTGCTCAAATGCAGTCGAGAGACGTAGCACGCGGGTGTGTCGAGCCGACTTCCGCAGACATCAAGCCATAGACTTCCCAGCGCAAAGTTGAGCAGTGGTCAGACAGGGATAACCTTGCCTTACGACCAAGACATTTCCTGCTCGGGCATGTGGGACTCGTAGTTCATGACGAGATGCAGCATTACAGCTTTTAGCCACCTTCCCTGTCCAGTATCATGATGTTGTCTATGCTCAAGTCATTGTTTGCAATGCTCTTAGCTCATTATACGGTCGCTTGTTTCGCGGATACGGGAAATTATTACGAATCTAGTCTCGGTTCCCGACCTATGTTTGTGGTGGCGCTACTGACGATGCAGGACGGTCTGAAGTGAGCTGGGGACGGGTGTCGAATCGTCGGGTTGGTCCTGCAGTTCTCCTTGCAACATGTCCGGAAGGAAATCCTTTCTGTACATTACCTTCTTGTGTTGTTAATTTGTCTCTTGTCGTATTCAATTACTCATGGTCCTATTCATACTTCTATTCACGACCTCTTGCCAACTTCACCAGCTCTCATGTAGCCCTCCAATATAAAAGCTGCAGTATCCTCCGTATCCAACTCCCCCCATTGCTAAACTCCGATTACTCTAGATACGAGACAATTTAGTAGCCAACTCGAATAGGTACAGTGGATGGCCAAAACATCAGAGCCAATAAAGACCTAATCAAGAAGCTTTTCTATCCGAACAAACGTATCCTTGGTTATCGTATCACTAGGAAAGGGCGAGGACCACTCCTCAATCAGTACCTCATCCATTAGAAGGGATATAGTACCGAGTATAATCAATGATTCAAGAGGAACCTCGACGTTCCTGTATTGATTGGGCACCTCCAAGATAAAAGAAAGGCCGAATGGAGAATGAAGGAGCTACAATAGAACAAACATTCGATGTATAATGTTAGATCCATACGTACTACGCACGATCCCACTGACGCAGAAGTTGAAACCATACATCAAAGACACAACTGTAACACTGGCACAGCTATCACTCCGGAATGTTGACATAACCACAGATGGCGCACCATTGCGAGCCACACAACACTATAAATAATTAGATGCTAGAGAGCAGATATGAACCGCAAGCTATCAACATACTGTGCAGCAAGTGGAAAAGTCCCTTGGGATACAATTAACTGAGCCTATCCTGATCGAGAGATATCCCTTTAATATCAAGGCCTCTCCGAAGCAAACCCTTGGTATCGAAATATTTTATACAACGATAATACTGCCTGTGCTACAGATCTACTCTGGAAGAGATACGACCTAAATAATAGGCTGAACCAAATCAGGATATTTCCCTCGTTATTCACGTTGCGAGAGTTTGCCCCCATTATTGTTACCATTATCTGTGCGAATTGAAGCTCCCTGAAAGACTAGCATGTCAGCTGCAGAACATGGAAATCATTTGGCTGCCTATAGAGTAGCCTAAAGGCAATGGTATGCAACCAACTCAGTGCCGTGGATAGCATAGTTAGTAAATGTACTACTACGGAACCTGAAATGAAAGATACCGTGTGACCTGTCAATATCTTATACTTTATGCCCAACTTGCACAGAGGAAATCAAGTCACGCTACTATCGACTTATATTCTGCGATAGGTGGCAGTATACCCCATGGAATCACAGGAGATCGATTGTTATCCGGTTGCGTGTTGACGAATAGTATGTGGAGTGACATGCAATAGGCGATGATACAGGAGTGCAAGGAAGGTTTGATCAGAATACGGGACAGGCTATGGGGGGCATAATTCTTTCAGAAGGCCTTGATATAAAGTTCGGCGACTTCAAGTCTTGTGTCTTGTATGAGGCCTATAATATCGACTACCGGACTCAATAATACGAACAGCTGCCGGTTCTCCTCTTGCAGCTGGGGAATTTCATGCTCCTTGGGCTCCGTTGCATAAGATAAGAGATACTCTTAGGAAATGGAGAGGGTCGTTTCAGACGGCTGATTGGTTAATAGTCAAGGGCATATGGAAGTATGATAGGACATGGATTATATTTAGTAGCTTACATAAAAATATTATAATATCTACACACGATAACTGAAGAAATAGCTAATATGTATACTACTTTTCGGCAAGCAACAGCACAGGATACTTTTCATGTTTTGACTTGATCTTTGGATAACAAAGAGTGCTAAGTACTAGCTATACTTGAAGCGAAGGGGTATGAGACACATCGTGTAGCAATATTGTAGCTCAACTTCTGATAGTACTATGTAGTTGTTCGAATGCCCAGCGGATGCTGTTATTTGTCGCTTTGTTTGGTCAGATCGGGACAAGGAACTGCATGTCCTGCAGACATCCAGCTTGAGAAGTAGATCGAACTACAATCTGGTGAATATTACACTGAGTCGGCAGATATAGCCGGCCACTAGTATTGCTCGCATCTTTGCTGAAAGGATCAGTATATAGAGAGAGTTTGAATCGATTAAAAGTGATACGCCGAACTTGAGAGAAAAGGTGCAACTTGGAGGTTTACATGGAGAACTTTAGGGCAGACAAGTAGCCGTAATACGAGGCAGGAAACCGGCAAGACTGGCCATGCTGCAACGGAGGTGACCGGATCTGTTCGGTGCAGGATAATGTAGATGAAACTTGGAAGGATTGTCTACTCACCTTGTTGACAATAAGACATCTGACACACCCTTACCTTGGCCAAGCATTCTAGATCTTCTCGGTAACTATCATCACTTATCTACGAGATTAGTGTGGAATTCAGAGGAGTTGGATTTACTTTCGATGGTAATTTGATTAGCTTTTAGCTCTAAGATCGACAATGCAGATTGACTAGCGGGCCCGACATTCTACAGCAGTAGATACTACATAGTTGAAACCGGATCTACCGAAGTAGTTTTGCTCCTAACTATATACTTTTGGTACATAGCCTGCATTGTAAGTAGCGAGGTACCTCTTAGCGAGAAGCATAGTGGATATGATTTGACATCATGGGGTGGCCATGGATGTTGATCAATCCGCGGAAAAGTCTCCACCGTTTGTCATGAACGAGTGGGCGGGAGTGACTTCATCAGCAACGACCGTGACCCTCTTATATGCCCGGTCGCAGTTGGAATCTCTTTGACCTCCCAAGACCCTCACTCAACCAGATGATAAGAATCATCCAACCAAATTAGTCTTTACCACCTCGTGCAATAATCCTGGCCTATAACTTCATCTGCTAGCTCACTCGCCTTGCGATTTTGCCTTCGGAAGACCCGGAAAAGGAGCTTTGCATTGCATGGTTCCGCCGCCCTGGAAAGAGTGTTGCGTGCCGTGACTTGCCCCCGTTCTGCGGGATTCTGCCAGTGTCTATCCAGCTAAGAAGACGCGGTCGTGCAGTTGCTACCGCGTGGTGGTATAAAATTCACGACCGCGACTGTAGGCCTCTCTTAAAAGAGTAGGACTGCATTCACGGAAAGAGCGAGCAAAGTGACGAGTGTGTGCCGAACAAGTGAATTTGAAGTGACGTTTGGTTGAGAGCGCGGATTTGACTCATCCCGCCCGCCTCACAGCGCGACGACCAACACAACAACATCTTCCCCCTCACTCTTTTTTTCTCCATCCTTCTCCAAATCCTAGCTAAACCCCCTCGATCATCGCCTCCGTGAGCAGACTGTGGTTGACCCGGTTGAGGTCGCTGCCAGCATTAGATCGGAGGTGATTCTCACTGTTGTCATCATCTCATTGGCTCTCTCTTGCCCCGTTGTTCACCTATCGATTCATCTTTGCATCCCGGCTGCATCCCTGCGCCACTCGCGGGGATGTCTCAACACACCGATATTGCACGATCCGCCATCATGACGTGCGCGTCGGCTCCCGATCACCAACGCACCAGTGCTCCAGGAAAACCAAATGGACCGATTCCTCACTCGGGAACTGGGAAGGACGCTAATCTTATGCCTCCCCCGAAATCACTGGTCGGACGAGCGCTAGGCAACGAACTGCATTCCGATTCCCACAAGGGATCGCAGGTGCCCAAGGATGGTGTCGGGTTTGCCCTAACAGACACTCCGATTTCTACCGCACCCTCGTCTCCACCTTTGTATGTTCTCCCGCCTTTTCCTTGCTCCTGTTGGTCCGTTTCTTTTTCGTCTGCTGTCTAGATCTGTTTCGGGGCGTTTTGCTCTCGAACTCTAGATCGTGAAAGCCCTTTTTCCTTTCTTTTTTCTTAAAAAAAGATTTTAGTTTATTATGTTCTTCCCCGGAATGATCGACGGCTGTCAATTCGGGTTATATTGGCCCGGCTGATGACCCGGTCTTCCCCGCTCGTTCCTTCATACTTCCTTTTCTCCGAGTTCATCCTTTTAGTTCTGGGGTTGTTGGGCCATGTGTCTAGCTGCCCAGGAGTCGTCTCCCTATTTGTCATTTGCGCAGCTGTTTCTGGACACAGTCAGGAACAGAGTTTGTGGCGTTGCAAGCTAACTAGCTATCCACAATAGTACTGCCAATACTACTCCGTCTACCCCGGGTCGGATTCGTGCCACTACCCTTGATATCCCAGGTCTCACCAAGTCGAAGGTCTCTCCCGATGGACGTATTGCTCAACGTGATGTGGGCTCGAAATTGGTTATTGTCATGGTCGGCCTCCCCGCTCGAGGAAAAAGTTATGTCACCAAGAAGCTGGCCCGTTACCTTAACTGGTTGCAGCACGATACGGAGATCTTCAACGTAGGAGAACGTCGTCGTGTGGCCGCCGGAAAGTCTCCAGCTACCGATGGAAGACGTCCGAGTCACAGAGCCAGTACCATTCATAGCGAACTCGTCGACTCAGTGCGTCGGCTCAGTGTCAGCGTTGGCACCATGAATCAGCCGTCGAAGAAGAGTGACCTTGCGGCCGAAGCAGCAGCGAATGCCTCGGAGAGCGCTGTGACCTCGCCCCCTGAACATGAAGGCAGCGTCCCGCCTTTCGATGGCAGCCTCCCGCCTCCCGCTGTCCCTACCAAAATTCTGGTCAACGGGAAGGAAGAGGATCCTTCGGAGAGCACTATCGTCCCACCCATGCATGCGTCCCCGGCCGAACAGGATGCCATACGCGAGGCATCTCCCGAGCCCATCGACCAGTCAGCCAATTTCTTCGACCCTAAGAATCAGCTGGCCGTGAAGCTGCGAGAGCAGGTGGCCTTGGACACATTGGATGAACTTCTGGATTACATTCTCGATGAGGGCGGAAGTGTCGGCATTCTTGACGCCACCAACAGCACCATGGAGCGCCGCAAAGCAATTGTCGATCATATCCGCAACCGTGCTGGTCCCGAGCTCAACATCTTGTTCCTTGAAAGCAGCTGCGTGGACGCGGAATTGCTGGAAGCCAACATGCGTCTGAAGCTGTCGGGCCCCGACTACAAATATCAGGACCCTGTCAAGGCCCTCGCAGACTTCAAACGACGTGTGGCCCTCTATGAAAAGTCCTATGTTCCTCTCGGCGAGTATGAGGAGAAGCACAGCATGGCGTACATCCAGATGATTGATGTTGGACGCAAGATCGTTTCTCATCAGACTCATGGCTTCCTTTCGTCGCAGGTCGTCTATTATCTGCTCAACTTTAACCTCTCCCCGCGTCAAATCTGGATTACCAGACACGGTGAAAGTAAGGATAACCAGCTGGGCCGCATTGGTGGCGACTCTGAATTGAGTGAGAATGGCCATCGCTATGCAAAGGCGCTGAACCGTTTCATCGACCATCAGAAGCAGCAGTGGGAGTTGGTTCAGAGGCAGAAGGAAATGCTGCAGCATTTGCCCCCTCGTGCTGGCGATAGCACTCCTCCCAACCCATCGTACATTCCCCGCGACCGGCCTCGCAACTTCTGTGTTTGGTCGTCGATGATGCAACGTTCCGTGCAAACCGTCGACTACTTCAACGAGGATGAGTATGATGTCAAGCAGATGAAGATGCTTGATGAGCTCTATGCTGGCGAGATGGAGGGAATGACTTATGACGAAATTCGCGAGAAGTTCCCTGAGGAGTATGCGGCGCGTCGGAAGAACAAGCTCTATTACCGCTACCCTGGCCCTGGAGGCGAAGGGTATCTGGATGTGATCAATCGGCTTCGCGCCGTGATCATTGAGGTGGAGCGGACGACCGACCATGTTCTGCTGGTCACTCACCGGTCGGTCGCCCGCGTCCTACTGGCGTACTTCCGTGGCCTGAAGCGCGATGAGGTTGCTTCCTTGGATGTGCCTCTGGGAATGCTTTATATGTTGGAGCCCAAGCCGTACGGTGTTGAATTCAAGGCGTACCGTTACAATACCGATACGGACTGGTTCGACTACATTCCCGACTTCAAGTTGCAGCAGACTGCCCAGTACTAGACACCGCTATTTCCTGGCACCGGTGCAACGACGAAATGGCCGGTCTAGCACTATCAGTGACATTTCTGCTTTCTTCAAAAGATGCCTTCTATGAGCAATGACTCTTGACGACGTTTCTTACAACTTTGCTATTCTCTTCTGCTTTTCCTTGGGTGTTATGGAGCCTTTTGCTGGACTGGTTGCCGGCTGTTGCTTCCCCCCATTCCCTTTCGCATACGTGTATTATCCCGGGAGACGTCCAGTTGCGTATTCACTGGGTCTTGACTTTAGCGCGCATTTGCTTACTTGCTCGCATTTGTCAACTCGGGCGTTTGGGGATACTCTCTGGGGTTGCAAATTTCTACCCCCCTTGCAAAGACTTATGGTTGTGGATCGGAGGATTTAATGGGCAAAGGACGGCTGTCTCATAAGACTAGACTCCACTACGTTACACTTCTCTGCTTGTGTTACATATTTGCTGCCTCCATAGAGCAATGTAATTTGCATGGGATCAACAGTACCTGTAGATGTTCCCCTTCTCACCTTTATATACCATCCGTAATTCCTCTCAAGAACTCTTCTTCACCTGCTCAAAAACCTCCAAAAAGGTCTCCGGCTCATCCGCACCCTCCACAGCATACTGCCCCTGAATCATATAATACGGCACCCCCGTCACCAACTGACGCCTCGCCTTCTCAGCCTCCAAGTCGACCTCCTTCCCACCCTCCTCCCCATCCAACAACCTCTCAACCTCACTCTTCTCCAACCCAGCCCCAACCCCAGCCTGCACCAACACCTCCCGATCCGTCACATTCTTCTCCTCTTCAAAATAGGCCCGGAACAACTCCTCCGCCACCCTCGTCTGCAAGCCCCCAATCACATTGTCATCTTTCTTCACTGTATCAATCTTCTCCTTCTGTCCAGCATACCACATCAACCGATGCGAGTCCCGCGTATTCCCCGTCCTCCCACCAAAACTGAACTTGATCCCTTCGCTCTGGCCCACGGCACCCAGTCGATCGAAGATGGCGCTCGCGCGGTCAGCACCGAACTTGGATTTGTAGTATTCGGTTTTGTCGAGACCGGGGAAACTTGGCGAGTTCGGGTTCAGGTAGAAGGCGTGCCACGTTAGGGTGAATGTGTCGGCTGGGTGGGTGGTCTTGTGGGTTGTTATGGCGCGTGTGAGACGGCGGAAGCCGACGTAGCACCACTGTTTTTGGTTTTGTTAGTGTATGTGTATGATTCTTGTTTGTAGGGTGGGATGGGCCGAGTTTTGGGGAAAGGTAAGGTACCGGGCAGACGGTGTCGGAGATGATTTGGATGTTGAAGTTGGTCATTGTGTATATTGGTCCACTATCTATTAATCTTGTTTTGAATAGGTAGAGAAAGATGTGTTTGTTAAGTCCAAAGGGTGAAAATGTAACTGCATAGTATAGTGTAGTTTAGTTGCTGGATGTCGCACTGGATTTGTCAGCAGATTAGCAAATTGTGGGGGAGATTCAACCACATGGACTGCGATGGAAACAGTCATTGGTGATCTGCTTGTAGAGCCGAGTTCCGATCCATCTTTTAGCAAATAGACTGGAGCTGGTCTTCATCTGACCAGTTGGAAAGATCGCGTGGAGAAGTGCAGTTGAGTTGTGATGCTGCGGCTGATCCTCCTCTTTTTTTTTTCCTCCCCGCATGACATCATCTCACTTGTGTTGCTGATCGACGGATGACAGACTAGTAGGAAGTATTCGTTGTGTAGGGGTCCAATGGGTGGATATCCCATTATTAGAGAGTTAACCAGAGTTGACCAGAGTCAATCAACGATATATCACATTCTCAGCATCTGCTACAGTCCCACTTTTGCGCAGATAGCTTGCATAGCCCAATCCCACTGCTCTTATCAGCTGACTCTTCTTTCCGATTTCCCTGTTTTTGACATAATCTTCTCTCTTAATCAAAGGACATACTAACCGTTGATTTCGCTCCTCTCCACTCACGTACCTCTCCAGATTTCAGGAACCAGAACCCAGCCTCGCATTTGCTGCCCTCCTCTCCATGATCATTTCGTTCCTTCTCCGCTGCCATGATTCCACCTGGGCTTTTCTCCATGCCGTTATCCTCAATATCCCTCCATCCCGATTGTATATCTTCCCTACCTTGGCTGGTACCGTCTGGTTCCTGACTCTGGCGTCCCTGCTTCTGACATGGTTGGCTCGTGGAATGCCCGTCTATCCGGGTCAAAGTAATCCACATGTCGCGTGGGTGTTTCTTCCATCTCAATTACACATTACAGTTTAGATGGTTATTGATTTCGAGGATAGCTTCATCTCCGACATTGCCTCCTTCGAACTAAAACCCCTCTTCCTCATAGGTGCTTCCATGACCGCCGTGGGGTTCGTTTTCACGGTAGCTGCTGTGCACGTCATGCGCTACGAGCCCGGTTTCGCCTTGGTTAAATGTCCAGTTATCTCCGAAGACACTGCCAACAATGATCAGGAATCCAATGCGTCCTACAACAGAACTAGCGAAAACAATCACCGAAATGCCCAGAATCACATAACCGGACATGGACATGATGAGGAAGAGGAGGAAGGGGAAGAAGAAGACCAAGAAACAACCCGCACCCTCAAAGTCATATCGTTACTATCAATCCTCGCAGCCGGAACAGCCAGTACAGCGCTCATCCTCCTCGGAGTTATGGATACATTCCGCTACAAATTCGCCCATCATATCTTCCTTCGCATCTGCTTCGGATGCTTGGCGATACAGTCAGCCGGTACCGCGATTGTCTATTCAACTGAGGTCCTGAGTTTCGTGTCGTATTTATACCACTGGGGGGTATGGGGCAATGATTGGGGAAGAAAGAGGAGTACACGAGTTAGGATATTGTATGTGCACATTCCTTCTATTGAATCACCTCACAACCTTCTAAACATTGTTGGAAAACGGACAGTGCATCCCTCTCCACCATCCTCATCTTAATACAGCTCTTCCTCGGCGTAGCTTTCATCTCTCTCACCATTCCCGAAGACGTAAACGATTACAGAACAGCTGGTATCCTCGAGTGGATCATTGCATTCCTAGGAACGATCTATCTATGGCTCTTCTGTGGGTTCTTTGATCGGTACGCTCACGCCTCCTTGCACAAGTCTATAAGCATCTTATCATCATTCCTTCATTGTGATGATTGCTGACCGCTAGCAGAACCACCTTCGAAGGCTACGTCCCCAGCATTTTATACAATACAGCCCCGCATGGCAAATTCCTCGACCGTCCCGCAGTAGCAGGGGTAGGAGTAGCTGAAGCTGAAGCCGAGTCTTCGTACAGCGCTGCTGGTAATACCCTGGATGTGGATCCTGAGCGGGCGCCGTTGCTTCCTCAGTCTCAAGCTCAGGGTGGGTTTGGGACGAGGTATACGTAGTGATGTTTATGACGGTTATGTTTAGATATGATATACCATTGTGTGATGCTCATGTAAGACGTGGCGTTGGGTTGGTTGTGTCTACTACTATGTATATATCTTCCCTGTTCAACTATATATACAACTTTCATCAATGTACGACTTGTAATAATTGACAAACGATGGAATAGAGCCTATAATCATGCATAAAGCAATATACCGACTGAGACGTACCCTATAAACGCAAGATTCACTTTTCATTCTAGAAATACTCGCTCGTGTCGCCGTGACGAAAGTCCATCTAATCAGATAATAACATGCTAAAGATACGTACATTGGCGATACACCACCACCCGTATTTACCTCAAGTAAAGGGGGTGTGCCGACAGTCTCATACATTCTATGCACTTTACACAGTTGTGGTTGTGGCTGGTTACATTCTGGCGCCACATATCGCCTCAAGAATTGAAAGAAAGGGAATCGTCTCACAGAGTCTGACCACCTTGGTTAACGAGTTGCCACATGTTGGCCTTGTTGAGGAATGCAGTCGAGTTCAGCCCGGGAAGGGGCTCCATAACCGGGGGTTCACGGTTTCGGAGCTTCTCCATGGTAGAGTTGTACTGGATTTGGGGTTAGTTTGGACTGTTCAATAAAGAGATGAGGGTGCGATATAAGCCTACCTTAAAGGCAAAGTTCAATACCAAGGCAACGGCCAACCCCACGCAGACCACAATCGGACCAAACATGTTGTCCAGGTCCTTTCCGCTCCGCTGACGGATTAGACGGGCCCGCTTCTCGTGCATGTACCATCCCCAGGCGGCAGCGAAGATGGCGAAGCAGGTGTAGACAATGGACAGAGCGCGAGCAATGTCGTTGTGCTTGCCCGCCGCGTTGTACAAACCCAGAGATAGCGAAGAAAGTAGGATGCTAATGTGGAGCCACTTGATAAAGGTACGCTGGTTGGCGAGCCAGACCTTGGTCTCGACACGGACCGGGCCCGAGTCCTTGATCCACGTGCCGGGCTCCCGGACACCAGGGGGCAGAACAACGTTGTCTGCCGGTGCGCGATTTTGACGGGAGATAGTAAAGGAGGGGAAGAGAGAGGCCAGGCGCTTCATGGTGACTGGCTGTTCCGCCTCTGCGGCGAACTCTTGGGCGGGCTCTTGACGCTCAGGGGTCGGTTGTGACATTGTCGGGGCAGATGGACGAGGAATCGGCTGTACAATCTGGGAGGATTGGCGGCGTCGTGACGGCCCTGTCTCGGTGAACATCTGGACAGGGGACCCGACAATGTGCCGAGTTGACGGTGTCTTGCCTCCCAGGAAGCTTCCGACAGCCATATCGTCTTCGGCACGCTTCGCCAGTCGCTCCTGTTCTTCGTGGAAAGCCGTCTCAGGGTCCCGCCTGATGTCGCTTTCCAACTCGCCAAGCCAGAAGGGGAAGCTGTTGACATAGTCTTCGAACAATTGGGCAACGCCATGGACGAATTTGGAGAACCGTGGGGCTTCCTTCACGAGATGAGACACCATCAGGTCCTTGACCCATTCAGCGCTACGAGCCACATCCCCTCTGATTTTAATCTCCAGCAAGCCATGAGGGAAACGAGCAATTTCGCCGGTTCTGATGGACTGGAAGGGATATTCCATGCCAGCATCGTCAATATCCCTCCGGTGCCATTCATCTGCGTCACGGCACGGGCGCAGCTCGTCCAGCGCGTCTTCCCGGATGAGTGCCAGGTTGGTATCGAGGGAAATACGGATTCGATCATCTCCAGGAATCTGGAAGGCCGTGCGGGTGTAGTTGGCGCGGAGCATGGGCTGCAGGTTGTGCTCCTTGATGAAGGATTGGAGCTCATCGACATCCTTCTTGAAAGCCTCCGCTTGCTCGGACTCTCCATTGCCCATGTTTTCCATGCGATGCACCTTCTTGTCGAAACGGTACTCTCCGTCCAGGAATTCCTTGACGTGCTTCTGCTTGAGCTGCACCTTGACCTCTCGACTGCGATCATCATCTGTGACCACCTTCTTCTCCAGGAAGATGGCGGGCTTATCCCGTAGGTTGCCGGTCCAGCGCAGCCGCAGCGAGCCCGCTTCAGGGGCACGGGCTACCTTCTGAGTGTAAAGATCGAATTGCGGGTTGTCGAAGTAGAGGGAGGTAATCGTGGGGTCATCGGGAACGGTGTTGAGATCCCTGGAGGTGCCAGGGTTGTAGATAAGGACGGGCAGTTGTCGGAGGATGTAGGTCTTCACCTCCAGAATGTTGTCTGCATGAACCCAAAACTTGAACGAGGAGTAGACATCCTGACCGACACGAGGCTCGGCGGGGTCCTTAGCCTCGATTATACCTTGGCTGAGGATCTCGCGGGCGAAGGAGTACATCACGGACAACCGACGCACCAAAGGGGAATAGTCTTCAGAGTTGAAGGGGAGTTGCGAGAGACGCACTTGGAGCAGAGGCTTGACACGGTAGCGAGTACCACGCTTACGATCATGCTTCTTTGCAGCTTTGAGAAAGCCGGTGAAGTTGATGCGACTGTACTTCTCGAGCTCTATTACCTCCTTTGTGATATTGTCCAATTCCTGCAGGACATCGGAAGCGACACGCTTCTTCTCCTCTTCATCCACCACGGTAGGGGCCCCGTCCTCGGGCGAGGTCGTCAACGGGCGCAAGCGGGCTTCGCAGGTAGTGGTACGCTCTCGCAACTGTTGGAGGGTTTCCATCTGAAAAGCATTGACCTTATCGAGCTGGACGTTAATGAGCTCTTGCACGAAGGCTTCTTCATCCTGCTCGGTCCATGGGTTGCTTTCAGAGTCACTGCCATCACCAGTGACATCATGCTCTCGGAGCAAGACCTTGAGCTTATTGTAGTCGATGTATTTGCCCGCCCAGGGGGCATAGATAGAGTTGCGTAGAGTCTTGCCGAAACGCATGACTGTGATGGGCAAGTACGCACGCGACAGTTCAGAAGATCGGAGGCGGGGAAGAGAGAGAGATGGATTCCGGGAGAGACTAGAGATGTAAGGAATGCCGTCCTAGCGGAGACGATTCCGGGAACCACTGAGGGCGATCGATGCAAGGGGGGGGAAAGCAATTAGCTATATGCACCGTTTTTTTCTGGTATCGGGGTAGTTGAGAAAGTTTTCAGGAAGGAAGAGAAGAAAGAGAAAAGGAAATGAAGAAAGTGGCGAGGGTTTCAAGCAGCAACAGCATCATGACTAGTAAAGAGTACTAGATAGCAACTACTTTAGCAGCTTCCAGCCAGAAGGACTGCCATCGCCGTATCCTCGCACGTGCTCCCGTCATTCCTGTCCCATGACACTCTGATTGGCTAATTGAGTTCGAGCTACCCGGCCAGTTGGAAGCTAGTATCAACTTGATCTTGTGGTATCAGTAATACCAGTACCATACTAAGCCTCGGCTCCATCGCTAATCTCCGGCCTTTGTCTTTGGCCTGCTGATAGTGATGTTATTCGCATCCCGCCGTCTGTTTGTCTGTCTGTCTGTCCGTCTTTCGCTGCACTTCATAGGTTCAGCTATAGGCATTCCGTGCCTGACAACAACCTTCCCTAAGCACCTGACACTGATGCTTTTGGTAAAAGGTTCCACCTTCGATACCAATGTCCTCCTCGTTGGCCCCGTCGCTTCATGACGTCCTGTCAGACTTGCACCACCGTCCATATCCCCATGTCCCCAATCCGCCCTCGTGTAAGAAACGTGCCTCCGTCGCTTTGATCCTCCGTGTCCGTCCCACATACCACCACTGGCCCAATTCCTCGTCTCTCTCTGCTTCAGATGTTTCCGCCTCCGTTCCGCAACGACTGGAGACGTTCTTCGCACAGGACTGGGTCCAGAATGGAGAACCGGAAGCTCTCTTTATCAAACGAGCATCGCGCGTAGGCGATCGCTGGACTGGCCATGTCGCCCTGCCAGGAGGAAAACGGGACCCAGAAGATGTCGACGATAAAGCTGCCGCAATTCGAGAAGCCGTGGAAGAGATCGGACTGGACTTGACAACGAGTGAATGTATCCATGTGGGAAATTTACCAGAGAGAGTAGTGACTTCAAGTTGGGGAACAGTACCGTGCGTGTCTTCCCACGTCTCCTTTTCGTCGCTCATAGAAAGCATACCACTGACTATATTCCTTCTAGTTTAATGGTTCTCTGTCCTTATGTCTTCTTGTTAACGTCCAGTGATTCGCCCACCCTCCGATTACAGCCTACGGAAGTCGCTTCGACCCATTGGGTACCCCTCAGAGCCCTGCTCTCCTCATCCCTGAGAACGGTGGAACATGTGGACATGACTCAGCGGTTGGCGAATATGGGCGGGCTTCTGGCCCGCCTTGCATATCGCTCGATGATGGGCTACATGCAGTTTTCTGCCATCCGGCTGGCTCCAACTGAAAGCCTACAGTGCAACTCGACTCCGGGCTATATTCCAGAAGGCAACCAGCCGTCCACCTCTCTCGTTCAGCGCTGGAAATCCTGGTGTTTGGGCAGTCAGACACACTCCGGCCACCAAGACCAGCCACTCCTTCTCTGGGGTATGACACTGGGTATTATGGCTGATTTCCTAGATATGCTTCCACCTCACACCGCTGTACAGTTATGGAAATATCCAAATTTCACAGCAATAGACTTGCGATTCATTATAAACGTTCTGACATATCGTCTGCGCAAGCACAACCGCAGTCAGGTCCGGTCGGGTGCCCGGCCCAGCAACACGGCGGTGGATAGCCAGACCGCTGCCCTGCCGGTCACGAAGACCGCAGCGACCAATGGGGATGCGGAACACAATCAAGTCGGCATTGGAGGGCTTGGAGTAGGTAGGTATTTCGGATCATCTGATACAGACCCTACCGGCCATGCATATGCAGTGGGAATCATGCTCCGGGGCTACTATGAACGGGTGCGGATTGCCATCTACATCATTGTGGCCTGGAGGATCGCACTGGGCTCTACAGCCGCCATCTATGCATGGAAGCTGCTCCGCCGGCTAAAGTAGATATCAAATATGTCTATACCTGAAATCTTATATAACCTGTGTGGATAACAATGTTAATGATGACACGCCTTCTCTTCCCATTTTATAAGTCCATCGTGTCAAGACAGGGCCCATCATGCGGCGAATATTGCCCAGCTCTCGATTAGATAAGGAAGTTGATAGGAAAACCGCGTATGGTACTGTTTGGTTAGGGACCAGGGTAAATTACACGGACAGGGCAAGCGGTAAGGAAAAAGCAGCTAAGTTTGAGAGCTCGAGTCGAGATCAACTTCTAGTGGTAAACTTAGTAGTCATGGTTATTGTTCCCATTATCCATCCCTCCTTCCGCCGCCCGTCGTGATCCACTTCACTTACCCTCAGCACCACCGCCTCACCTGTTAACCTCGGTGCTGCTGCCCTTTGCGCCAGGAGCTATCATGGCAGCTACACAGAAGCTATACCCCCGCGCGACCGTCAAACGCGTCGTCAAGGCACACTCCAACCGCAACGTGAGCAAGAATGCCGATATTTTGGTAAGCTGCAACCCTGATCCCCTTGATTGATACTATCATTGTCTGCTCAGAAACTGACATGCTCGTCTTTACTGTATAGATCTTCCTGGATTACATGCTGTTCATGCAAGAGTGAGTCGACGTCATTGTTTACTGTTTATAATTACCTGGCATCTTGAAGCTGGTTGCTGACGTCTGCTTGTATTTGCAGACTGATGCGGGAATCCTCAATTCAATCGCGCAAAGCGGGCGAGAAGAACATCTCTCCCAACAGCGTTCGAAAGGTGACTGAGGTATGTTTGCTTTGTTGCATTTCAAGAATAGCCTGTTATAATCTAGGCTGACCATGAATTTCCACCGGTTTAGAGAACCCTTCGGAAGTTTAAAGGATAAGCTTGTGCACGGTGTGCGGTTCGGCGTCCTTCTCCGGGCTCCTGGAGAGCATGTATGATGTCGCGATGGCCTTATAGTAATGGCGGGCCTATACTATAACCAGATGGCGTTGATTTTGGGGAAGGAGGATTATCGTAGGGGTTTGATTTTTTGCTCTGGGTTTATTTTCATTTGCTTGCCATGCCTATCCTACGGGACAATTGGCTGATGGAAACTTGGTCAGACAATGATGGGAGCTTTGCGCGGCGTTGACTAGGAGTTGTTTGTGATGATACCCAACGATCATGGTGATCTAAAGCAGCAGGGATTCCCCCTTGTCGAAATCGAACCTGTAATGCGTCCGAGGCGCTCCTCCAACCACAATTTCTTTTGTAGACCATTGAGTTCACAATAAGCTGCGCGACCGTCCGAGCGTCGACTTGGGGGCAAAAGTTGTTGGGCTGGCGGCGAACAGCACGCGACAAAGCAAAGGCGGCGCTGCGGTTCGGACGCCTTCCACCCGCATCTTCGTCTTCTCTCGCTGTGTCTCGCTCTCTCACTTCTGCCGCCTTGGCTTCCTTTCCTCTTTCTCTCTCTCTTCTCTCTTCCTCTCTTCTCCAGTCACTTTCTCCAATCTACGCAAATACCCTTCTCCTTCTTCTCCTTTCTCTTCAATCCCTACATTATCCTTTTTTCTTTTTCCTACTCTCCCCCTTTTCTACCAAACAACTAGGCTCCCCTCCCAGCGTCTACCACCTCACACACCAGCAACAATGGCCGCCGCAGCTGTCAACACCAACCCCCCACAGTCCGAGACCTCGTCAGAGAAGCACAAGCCGAACCATGCTTCTAGCCCTTCGATCGCTTCCAAGGCAGAGGTGAACGGTTCCGATAGCCAAGAGCATCAACACTTCAAAGAACTTCAAAAGTGAGTCATCCGAGAAGTCAGCCTCGGCGCTTCCCACCTCTTGACCGGGCAAAAGAGACCATATTGGATAGGATGCTAACCAGAGCGCTATAGGAGTCTGCGCAATGCTATGAAGAAGCTGGTTCGTTCACTCGACTCATTTTTAGGTTTCTGTACACCGCTCACATTTTCCCCATCCAGAATGCGACCGCTAAGGTTGACGCCATCATCGCCGAAAACCCTGGAAAGTCATTGGACGAGCTTGTCGCGGAGAAGAAGATCAACGTCGATCAGAAGGCTCAGGCCCTGAAGAAGCCTTCCCTTCAGGCCGCTGTTGCTCAGATCGAGGAACAGATCGCCCAGTTCAAGAGCTTCGCTGCCTACTACGAGGAACGATTGGTCAGCCAGAAGGCTGAGTTGGAGAAGGCTCACAAGGAGCAGCTTGAGGCTGTTCAGAAGCAGGCCACCGAAGCTGCTAGCGGTGTCAGAGAGACGGAGCTCAGACAGAAGCTGCTTAACTTGAGCAAGTTCCTCTGTGCAGCTGCGCGGGTTCGAAACTCTGGAGATGAGACCTCAAATGAGAGCCGTGCCTTTGAGGGTGTCCTTTACCAGATCTACGGCGGTACTCAGGATGCTGTCTCTTCCATGCTGAAGATCATCGATGGTGTGGATGAGAAGGTGGTTGGCGTTGACAGCACTCTTCTGGATGTCACCTGTGAGCACTGCCGTCATCCCATGTAATTTGTCTTGCCTGTTGCTAACGATTCTCTGTTGCTTAGACGGAAGAGTAAAGCAGGCCGCTGCTGAGCTTGCTGGACCAACTGACGAGACCACCACCGCCACCACCGAGGCCGCTCCTCAGTCGGACCCTACTATTGCCAACGCCGGTTACACCGAGCTTCAGGATTCTTCTTACAACACCGATGCTACTGCTACTGTCACTACCGAGTCCGCTACTGCCGCTGAGCCTGAGGCTGAACAGGTCCAGCCGCCTGCTCAGACTCTTGTCGGCGAGGGTGCTAACGCAGTCGCGGAAGCCAACTGGGATGCCAATGCTTCTGGTGTCTCCTCGGCCAATACCGAAGGCTGGGTTGAAGTCCCCCGGGACCCCGCCGAGACCGATACTGGACTGGAGGCCACACCTGCAGCGGCGCAAGCGGAGGTGAAGAGCAGCGCGACTGCCGAGCAGGGCTCGGAGAATGTTACTGTGCCGAAGGACGGCTTTGAACAGGTACACCACCACCAGAGACAGCCTAGTGTTCGCGGACGTGGTCGTGGCGGACATGGCCGCGGACGGGGTGATGGCTTCCGGGGACGCGGACGCGGCGAGTTCCGTGGCCACGGTCGTGGCCGCGGTCGCGGTGGTCGGGGCCGTGGCGGAGCTAACGCCAATGGCAATGGCGCTCCCAGTGCCGCTCCCGCTGGAAACCAGTAAGTCGGTGCAGCTGGGAATAGGGTCAATCCGTCGTTTGGCTTGGAGGTTGTGCTCCTCTGTGAGAAGTAGTACTCCTCAAGGTCGGCGCGGTCCCGACGCGGGCACCTTGCCTCATGCATGGCACTGGGCCTTGTCCATGCTACATCTTTACATCTTCCCCGTTTTTATTCTTGCAGCCGTCGGGGCGTTGTGCTTTCCTTTGTCTATCCTCTCTCATACTAATAAACTCATGGGTAATGGCGGTGTCATGGTTGACGAAAGCAATGACTCTTGAAATGATTACAACACGGAGCTATGAGGGCGACACGCTGCCGATGAATCAGTCATGCGGTAGCATTGCTCGACGTTTCTTTTGGATTCTATTCCCCAAGGTTCCGGTTGTATATGTTTGCAGTTATTGAGCGTGCATAATGTTGCTCTTTGATATCTTTTCTTTTTCCTTGTCTTTCGAGCTGTGATGACCGCTTCCACGGGACCATTGCATTCGGGGATGGTGGCGGCAATGCTCGTCATATTGGCCATCTACTATTCTTTTCCTGTATTTTATTCATTTGCATCTTATGTTGACATGGAGGGCGCAGGCCAGGGCGGTTCGCAGCGGAGGAGCAGGGGAGACAGTCTGGCTGTTGACGGCCGGGACAGAGTTGCTAGGAATCCAAGGTCAAAGTGCAGCTTGATGGCAATGGAAGCCAGCGGCGCACTTACTTTTCCTCACCACCTCAGGACCAATCCAGTATACCTACCATTGTAGATGCAATAGATGCAAAAGATGCAATCAAGATCATAGAGCGATGAAACCGATCACTTGGATTGTCCCGAAAAGGCAGCCAAGACCGAGTCCCGCATCTGATAGGGCTCAGGGCTATGACATAATTGGCAGGTGCCTCGGGGGAGGAGAAGATGCCATCGTGTTGTTGTTCTTGTTGTTGTACTTCTTCGACTTTCCGTTCTTATGCTGCTGAACGCTGCTATCCTTCGTTCTTTTTCTGTTCCTCATGCTTAATTAGATCTCTCTTCGTTCGCTCTCTTATTCCGGGCCTTTTCTTTCCTACTCGTATTGACCTCCTAGTGTCCCCCTGTACCTCGCCATCTCACCACCATGGCGGTTGCCGCAGACCAGCGGAAGAAGATCCTCAAGGTCTTGATGACCTCGTTGCTCTTGGATTTGGTATGTGTTGCTGCTATTACCCGCCTTCTCTCCATATAGCTCTCTAATAGCCGATCTAGATATCCTTCACGTTCATTCTACCCCTCTTTCCATCCCTCCTCACTTTCTACCGCAACCAAGACCCCTCTCCGAACTCGCTGCTGAACCGCGTCTTCCACTATCTCAATGCCTACAAGAACTCTTTCGCAAAGCCCATCGACTCGCGCTATGATATTGTTCTCCTTGGTGGCGCTCTCGGATCTCTCTTCTCCCTTCTGCAGGCTCTAGCCGCTCCCTTTATCGGTCGTCTCTCCGACCAGCGCGGCCGCAAGACCGCCCTCCTATACTCCATGGTTGGCAACACTCTCAGCGTCGCTCTCTGGGTCGCTGCCACGGATTTCCGCACCTTCCTGGCCAGTCGCATCGTCGGCGGTCTCAGTGAAGGAAACGTGCAGCTGGCCAACGCCATTGCAACCGACATCAGTGACCCCAGCCAGCGTGGTTCGACCATGGCTCTGGTGGGCGCCTGCTTTAGCATCGCCTTCACCTGCGGACCCGCCCTAGGAGCATTCCTCTCGAACATCACCACCGTGGCAGCGAACCCCTTCGCGACCGCAGCCGGTGTCTCCCTTCTACTCATTGTCGTCGAAACCGCATACATCTACTTCTGTCTGCCAGAAACCCACCCTCGTTTCACCAAGCTCACTCATACCTCCTCAACTACCACGTCCGCCTCGAAGCCCTCCACCTCCGCCTCCACCTCCACCCCCAAGCACAAACAACACACCAACAACCCCGCCATCCTCAACGCAATCCATTTCCTTTTCCTCCTCCCCTTCTCCGGCCTCGAATTCTCCCTCCCCTTCCTGACCGCCACCTTCTACGCCGGCAGCCAAGCCAGCCCGTCCGCCCTAAACGGCCGTCTTCTCTCCATGATGGGTCTCATCGCCTCCCTCCTCCAAGGCACCGTCGTGCGCCGTCTTCCCCCGCTCGTGACTGTCCGCGCCGGCGTCCTCGCCTGCACCGTATCCTTCTTCATGCTGGCGCGCGTCTCCTCCCTCTCCGGCCTCTACGCCGCTGGCAGCCTCCTCGCCATCACCAGTGCCACGGTCGTCACGGGCCTCAACAGCCTGGGTAGCTTCGAGGCACAGGAGTCAGACCGCGGTGCGGTCTTGGGTAGACTCCGTAGCTGGGGTCAGGTCGGACGCGCGGCGGGACCGCTGCTCTTCTGCTCGTTGTTTTGGTGGGTTGGGCGCGAAATCGCCTACACTACGGGTGGGATTGCGATGGTTACAGTTTGCGTGGCTGTGTTTACGTGCCTGAAGTCGCCAAATATCCCTGCAAAGGCGTAGTTGGTTCTCAGATGATACCTGTTGGATTGTTTGAAAGATTCTGTGACGATAAAAGATGGATTTATAGAGTGAAGTTTTCTGTTGAGTGTATGTTGTTGATCTTGGTGGTTTTATGAACTTGACTTGATATGCATTACATCATGTAGGAGGATATCTACACTATCATATTTATCTACTGGATGGCTGGCTGGCTGGCTGGCTGGATCAGCGGTCAGCGGGTAGCGAAATGTACATTTAAATTACATGAAATAGAACAGTAACATTCAAAATTGGTCATTACTGGGTATAATATACATTGGAGAGGAGTGAGGAGTGAGAAAAATACATGGAAGGAGTGGAAAAGACAAGAGAGAATAAATATGAGCATCTAGAACTCTCCTCGAAAACACCGCCGTCAACTGATCAAACAAGCAAATCAGATAGCCAGCCACCGTAAAGAAACAAAACCAGAGTGGTCAAGCAACCTTGAGATCGGGTCATTTCTCTCCAGACCATACCGCCCTGCAAAGGCCTCTATACATTGATCCCTTTGATATTGAGAGTAGACCGGAAAGGAAAGGATAAAGAGTGGAGGATTGAACAGTAAATGAGCACCAATATGGTCATGGATCCATAACAGCAAGATCTTATCGGTAAAGAAACAGCGAGGCCTGAGGGCCTACGACCGCCGACCATGAGGATAATACTGTTGTTCCTGATGTTCGTGATGGTACCGATCCCTATCAAGAAACCCCTGTCCATCCTGCCAATGACACCCCTGCATCGCTAGTCCCGGCTCTGCAACAGGGTCAAGCGATCCTCGTGCCTTCCCAATCAACCAGTCAGTCAGGGTCACGAACTTAGGCGTGCGATTCCATCCGCGCGCATCATCCGCATGCTCGATCGTATGCGACGCAATGCGACCTTCCTCGTCGAAGGAGAATATGAATAGTCCCGTAAATTGCTCTTCCTTCTTCAACTTGAAGATCGGAGCGTCCCCACCCAGCAGGACGCTTAGACCTTTGTTGATTCCCGTTTTCGAGGATGACAAGTGACTGCCATTATTGTTGTTGGTGCCTTGGGTATCAGTAGGTAGAGTAGGAGATGCGGCGGTGAACGCTGTACTGGAACCTTCTGGGTCGGAGGAGGTAGTGGATTCGTTCCGCGGTTCCGTTCGCCAGCGCACGACGAGACGCTCGTCGCTGGTATCGTGGTCGCTGTCAGGCCGTTCGGGTTCGAGGACCGTTCCTGCGCGGACGATACGCTCACTGAGAATTTGGAGCTTCACGTTCCCTAGTAGGGGGAGACTGCTCCATGCTACTGGGACGGTCCAGAGCGCGGCGCGATACAATGTTCGGCCCTTGACAGTGGGGAGATGCGGGTGTGTCGAGGGGAATAGGTGCAAGGCTATGCTGGGGGAGAGTATGTTCGGGGGTAGCGGGTTGATGAGAAGGGTGGGGAGGAGAGGCGAGAGGATGCGGAGAGCTGTGGGAGGTTCGTTCGGTCAGCATCGGACACATACTGTAGGATTGCCTGTTGATCTGGGGAGCACCCACTCTTTCCAAGCTTCAAGATGCGCTCGTCAGGAGGCTCATGATCTCGATTCGAACCCCCGTCAAGAGGATCCGATACAGACGGTCGGAAACCAGTTTGCGAGAAGAGTGTCGGTGACTCGCGGGTCAACTGCGGACCATGTATAATGTCAGGCCGTGGCTGGGCCAGGGTCCGCGGAGAAGGGGAAACGAAGTATTGTTCCCGGGAGACAGGCGGTTTTATCGGAGAGTGTGTTGTAGGAGGTAGTAGACGACGTCGGAGAGCGCGTGGCGCAGGGCCAGAGACCAGCTTCGGCGGCATTCCCGGAGGTTCACCCAGGGAGTTTGTGTTGAGAGCAGATCAATGCATGCCTTGCGAGGGGGCAGCGGAAGGGTGGGGTCAAGTCATAAGCTGGCAGATGCATGAGACAGCAAGTGCAGAGGGAAGATGGAGTGAGGATGGAACGTGGTCGAAGAAGCAATGGAACTGGCATCGAAATGCAAATGAAGTTCAATCGAAAAGTAAGCGGGAGATGACGTCGGCCCGCTCCGTCACAGCCTGAGGCAACACAAGAATAGATCAAGAATGCAGAAACTCCGTGCATTTGGTATCTATTTACAACCGTAACATATGATTATTTCCTGTCTCATGCCAGTTCATCGTCATCATCTGCCCCCATGTACCGCCTCTCCGCCAGATCGCGGATCTTGTCCTCCAGCACGCCTCGTCCATAACGCTGCGCAACCTTAACAGCAGCCTCCACCATCTTGCCATTGCGGTCGCGCATCATCTGCACCAGCTCCAGAGCCTTCATGCCGCGCTCTTCGCCCTCGCGGCATTCCACTGCCAGTAGCTGCAGCAGAAACTTGTCCACTTCCAGCTCCTTTCGCGCCAACTCTGCTCGCTGGCCGGTAGTGGCGTTGGTGGATCCCAGGAGGTCCTCAAAGAGTGACAGCATGATGTTGCTCCGAACAAACGCTTCCTCGAGTCGTGCCCCTTCACCGCGTGTGTTGCCTTCTTCCTCTTCCTCATCCGGTCCTTTTCCAGGCGTGTCGGTGATGGGGACGCGGAAGTCGAACTCACTCAATAAAGGCCTGGGGAAGTACGGATATCTATCCCCTCCCTTGAGAATGATGCAGTGGAACTTGTCTTGAGCCACAGCAACGGGCCAGTATGTCTCCTCCTTGCGACCACTCGCAAGACGCTCGAGCTGTCTCGTATCCAGTAGCGGGACCCAGCGAGCCTGCCCGTTTGTGCGCCAGTGTTGCAGAACGAGTAGAACGCCCTCGGAGTCGTAGATACACGGGTCCTATTAGACAGTTGTTAGCAGATTGAACCTGATAGATCTGCCTAGGCTTCACTCACTCCTGCGTCGGAGAAGAAGACACTCCGCAGCTCGGCACCCTCCGGGATGGCGACCACATCCTCATTCTGGCACACTTCATCCCGCTTGACATTCTCCACAGTGTACCGCAGCGTGGCCGTGCGACCATCGCTTCCCAGCGGGCCATTGCCCACCGTCATGATATAGTCTCTCCAGGCGGCGCAAGTAACCGCCGGGCTCTTTTGTCGGTACACTTTGAACGGTGTGCCGAACAGCGTATATACACGGACATAGTCCTTGGTCGTCACTGCGACAATGTATGAATCACTGAGCGCCAGCGCTGCCAGTCGATTAGCACCCACAAGCCTCCTAAATATTAGTTGGCGATGCTCTCACCTCGAATGAACTCTCCCTTCGGCAGCTGTGTCCGCCAGTCCGCACGCGTCGTCCACGTCTCGTGCGGGCGATAAAAGATCGTGGCAGGGCTGCCGTCCGTAGGGTTGTTGGAGAATAACGTTCCGTGCTCATCTGGACATCGTTAGCTACACTGTTGATCTGGTCTTGAGACCCATTGAACCTACTGAGACACGCCCGGTCGTACAGATAGGGATCAGTGAAATGGAAATCGCGATGAAGTTCCCGGTCGTAAAACTCCACTGTCACTGTGTTGTGCGTTTCTTGATCAACCGTCCAGACACAGCCGGTCAAGTTCAAACCTAGTCCAGTCAGCACACTTGGCATCAGCACCACTCAAGCTGCTTGGGCACACATACACAAATACCGTCGGTTGCCCCTCCAAGGTGTACTTCCCGGCTGAAGCGGAGGATGCACCTTAGGTTTTGTAAACGAGGTTAATAGCCGCTTGTCCGGACGGCCATCCACATCATCTAAATGCGAGCCCGCACGCTTGCCCCGTGCGAGATCCTCGGCATACCCAGCTCCATCATCATCCTCCACAAAGTCTTCCATGCCGACATCATAGTCGAGAACATCATCCAATGAGTCGGGCGTGCGTGCCCGCCGTTCAATCGTCTGCTTGGGCCGGTTCGCCAGCGGTGGTCTCACATTGTTCGAGATCTCCGTCAAAGGTCCAGAAAAGATCGGTGCAGCCTGAAGCGGCTTCTGCAGGAGTGGCTGGTGCTCTCTCGGCACAATACCATCATAGATGAACAACTCTCCGTCGGATGTCGTGAATGACAGCGAATTATTGCTCGGGTGCCAAGCGAGGTTGATCACATTCGCAAAATCGTACCGCTCCAGAACCTTTTGCGACTTCGTTTCCCAGAGCAGAACCTGGCCATCTTTACCGGCAGTCGCCAGTAGCGCCCCATTAGGCGACCAGCTAATCGCCGTGACCTCCCCGTTATGCCCACCAGAGAACACTTTCTCTTTCTTCCACTCGCCCACCGAGAAGATGGCGATATCCCGAGTCGCTTCCGCAGACGCAAATGCCGTTCCGTCCGGGTGCCACACAATCTGCGAGGTCGCTTCATCCTCCGGTTCCAGCCTTCGGATCACTCCATCCACCTTGCGAACCAGCTCAGGCTCGTCGGAGAGCATTGAATAGATATAGAGCATCCCGTCCGTACATGACACTGTAACGTACCGCCCGCTGGGGTCGAAAGTAACATGTTTTGTTCCCTTGGCCTGTTCCCGGAGATATTTGACCTTTGTCATGTCCTCGATGTTCACAATCTTGACCGTAAGCTCACTAGCAGCAGCGCGCAATTCATTAGCCACATCCCTAATACCTCACGGGTTAAATATAATGGGTATGCTACTAACTCGCTCGCAACAGCCGCCCACTCCCCGTCCTTCGAAACGGCGATATCGCGCACCGGTAGCGCGCATCGAACAAGTAGTTTCTCCATCCGGCCAGACTCGATTTCGTACTGCCAGACGGTACCGTCTTCAGCGCCCATGATGAATGATTCATTCTGTCGCGGGATGTATTAGCATATCAAACGAGTATAAACATCATGAATAAATTGTCAATTGAGCATACAGTAGCTCCAATTCCAAGATGCCCATCAACTCCCTCGTCAATTGTCTTCGGCTCTCCATCCTGTCCAACAGTGTAGATTCGGATCGCGGAGTTAGAACCACCCGTTATAACGCGGCGTCCGTCTGGTGTATATGCTAGTACCGTAATCCCGGGGGTATCTGACAATCACAGAATGTTAGTTAGGAAGCCGAGAAGAAAGGTATAGGGTGATTGTATACTCACGGGCTGGTCGGCCCCGGGGACGCATAGCTTCAGAAGCCATGGTGCGGTGACGAGAAATATAGAGCCTCTGGTGTTATGAGAAAATAGAATAAGTAACTTCAGCGCACCGATCTAGCCCCGATCTGACATTGTATGTGACGCTCGTGGTTGCGATGCGGAGGTGAGTGTCTCTCTCCGTCTCTCCTGCAACGCGCCTCCCGATTTGGGGAACGCGTTCCGCGCGTTGCATCTACTTTTGCCTATTCGGGCGGGAAGAAAGGGCTTAGGGCATTGGGTCAGGGCTGCCAATGATCTATCTGTCTCTTTACTACTACCACTAAATATCCATGGTTTACTTCCCATCATTTAATGATGGCCCATTCGCTGAGAGAAAGTCAAAATCAGCGCCATCCTGTGCCTGGTTCACCGATCGTTCATACAGCGCCCGATATCCTCTTTTCCACTCTTGGACATGCGATGCTTCCGCCCCGCTAGCTTCGAACGTCTGCTTCCGGACGGCAATTCGCCGGTTCAACTCTTCATCTGAGATCTCAAGCTGAAGCTTTCTCGTCGTAATGTCGCAAGTAATTGAGTCTCCTGTCTGTACCACTCCGAAGGGCGACTCCCGCAGCGCTGACTCGGGCGAAATATGAAGAACGATAGTACCCCCGGCTGTTCCTGACATGCGTCCATCGGAAAGCCGCAGCATGTCCTTGACGCCTGCGGAGCCAAGCTTACGTGGGATAGGTATAAGGCCTGCTTCGGGCATTCCGGGGTTGCCCCTGGGCCCGATACCCTTCAGAACCAAGACTGAATCGGGTGTGACCTCGAGGTTGGGGTCATCGATGCGCTTGGCGAGGTCTGCGGAGTTCTCGAAGACGACGGCCGGTCCAGTATGAGAGAGCAGTCGTCGGTCCTTGGATGCGGACGCTTTCATGACTGCTCCGTCGGGCGCGATGTTTCCCCGGAGTACGACTAGTGAGGATGAAGGGTGGAGAGGATCAGATAGTGGTCTGATGATCTGCTGCGAAAGGGGAAATGTTCTGAACGGTGAAGAATCCAAGACCTCGCCCAAAGTTTTGCCGCTTATGGTCATAGCTGAGAGATGAAGAAGTGGGCGGAGGGTATGAAGCAACGCTAGCATTCCACCTGCATTGTGGAAATCGTTCATGTAGTTGTCACCACTTGGCTTTAGATCAATGAGGAGCGGTGTCCGCTGCCCAACTTCCTCTATAGTCTGCAAGGTGATAAGCCCTTGTAACTTGGGGTGTCTGTTTACGATAGCCATTAGATGTACCACAGCATTGGTGGAACCCCCGATGGCTTGTAACACTGTGATGGCGTTCAGAAAAGACTCCTTAGAGAGGATATCTTGAGGTCGTCGTTCAGCGCGTGCCACCGCCACTGCATTTGCCCCTGTTTCTTCGGCCACTCGGATTCTCGCCGAGGAGACTGCTGGTGCGGACGCACCACGCAGCGGCATCATACCTAGAGCCGCTGTGACGCATGCCATTGTACTGGCAGTTCCCATAACTCCACAAGTTCCGACCTATTGCAACTACTATCAGCAAAGAGGAAGGTCTTCTATGGCATCATAGGCTAGAATACGTACCGTCGGAGCAAGCTCCTCATTAATAGCCGATATTTCTTCAATATCAATCTCCTCCGCCCGAAAGGCCGCCCAGTTATTCCGGCAATCAGTACAAGCACCGATGCGTTGCCCGCGATGACTTCCCGGCAACATCGGGCCCGTGATAAGTGGAAGGATAGGTTTATTGGCAGAGATGCCGCCCATTAACTGAGCAGGAACAGTCTTATCGCAGCCTATGAAATGTTAGCTGAAGATCAATTTATGAAGCTATTTTCTGAGTGTCTACAGGAAATGAGGGAGAGGTTAGCATGCCCATACCTCCAATCATAACACATGCATCCAACGGCTGAGCACGAATCATCTCCTCGGTATCCATACTCATCAAGTTCCTCAGAAACATGCTCGTCGGATAGGCAAAGCTCTCCTGGATACTAATCGTCGGGAACTCTATAGCAAGCCCTCCCTGAAGATGCACTCCCCGTTTCACGGCTTCAATCAGTTGAGGAGCATTGGCGTGGCACGGATTGAACCCGGAATAGGTGTTAATGATACCAACTATGGGGCGAGATAGCGCCTCATCAGAGTATCCCAGGGCTTTGATGAATACTTTTCGCAGGAATAGAGAGAAATGCGCATCACCGTAGGATGATAGGCCTTGACGAAGGCCGGAGGTGGAGTTTATGGGGGTTGAGAGGTCATAGTCGCTTTGAGACGTGGGTTCTGAGGTGCTCTCCATGATTGATGTCTTAGGAGGGCAAAGCAACACAGTGTTTCCTTAGCATTTGATTGTTGTCTGCAATTGAGATGGGGAGTTATGAGGTTATGTGGGGGATGGCGACATTGTGGGTAGAGTTGCCCGGATTCTTTTCCGCAGCATAAGCTCGTAATAACCCCCATAGCCTCTCACCCCACTGGCTTCGTATGACTAGTTGCTAGCTTCATTCAAGAAATTATACGTTCGGTAGAGGTGCTCTTCTACCGAACCTTCGGGCCAAGACGCCGAAGCTATTTTAGTTGATGTGCGAGAGAGCAGTTGCTGTTACTGTGAAAAAGGAAACAGAATATTGTATTAAGCTCTCCAGCCTAAGCATTGATAACCAACCGGCCAGCCCATTTATCCTAGATAATCTATGTACGAAAATAGAATGCAACCAAACTCCGTGTATATGCAAAGTTGCACTATAGACCACACCGCTCCTAAGCACGCTGTGTGATGCGCACCCGGACATCCTTCCGAGGCAGATATGCCGCTCCAGATGGCCGATGTTCAGGAACGGTAAAGCCTCCCTCCTGGGCTGGCTTGACATCCCACATGGTGATGATTGCCGCGGCAAACGCGAGGAGCTTCCTCTCTGCAAAGGCGCGGCCCTTACACCCAGATACTCCGCCACCAAAGGGTTTGATGGTGTGTACGTTCGCTTTCCTCTGTCCAGTTTCGGAGTCGGTCGAGATGAACCTCATCGGGTCAAAATCACGAGGATTCGCGAAGTATTTGGGGTCTGTATGGAGAACAGCGTGCGGAATAGCCACGGTATCGCCTCTCTTAAGTTCATATGACCGAGGCTGCGCTACGCCAGCGATAGCAGCATCTTCAGCGGACTCCGTGATGGTTAAGTCAGCGGTCACTCCCCGAAACGACAGAGGCGCTGAATGCAAGCGCAATGTCTCATAGAAGCTTGCCTTCAACAACGGACACGACTTAACTAGCGCTTCTGTATCAATTGACAGCTTGGGGGCTTCTTGGAAAGCGAAGCCGCTTTCCTGCCGAACAATCTTTACATAAGGAGCGACCTCCTTGCGGATCTCTTCCAGGAGCGTAGGGCTGGCATACATCCGAAGAAGGTGCCAAAAGACAACATTCGGGGAGTTTCCATTCATCGCCCAGAGCAAGGATAGATGTGCAGGTGCACTAGACCTTGCAGAAAGTCCCAGCTCTTTGCATTTGCGGATTCGCTCCTTTATAGGTTCCGAGATGTCGTCGAGATCTCGAAACGTAAGTCCGGGATCAATCCCATCATCCCATGAAACGAAGGCCTGGTGATACGCTGTAAGAGAATCGAGGAGCCGTCTACGGGCAACATGCGCTGCGGAAACCCCAGGGTGGGCCAACCGAGGGATGCCCATGGACAGGAGCACAAACTGGTTGTCCAGCGTAAATACATCCTCCAGCAGGGCAGGGAAAGCCTCAAGAATGGCCTCACCCATAAAAATTGCCGTAGTGACGTGTCCAACGAACCTTCTAATGAGGGCGAAAAAATTCACCTCGCAGGCAAGCGAGTCTTCCCCGTCAACGACGATAGCCTGGCTTCCGCGCTCCCACAGCATCTGGTCCACGATGCTTCGACAGTTAGTCACCAAGTTAGGGATCTCCCGTTCAATCAGGCGGGTAGCGTTTCTGGTGCCTTCCGTCAAAAAAGGCTCCCGCATGAGAAGGTTGGGGATATTGTGGTTGAGCGTATGATGGTCAACAGGATTCAGATTACGAATCACACCCCGGTCACCGAAGATCTTCTCGAGGGCATAATTGATCAAGTCCGTCGAGGAGGTACCTCGAGCAGTCAATACCGAGTTGACCATGGATGGGGACACGACAATATCGTGTTTGGTGCCACCCATGTAGATTCCAAACACGGCCTCCTTCATGGACTTTCTGTAAGATTGGTAAGAAATTGCAGCTCCTGCCGGCTGGTTTTGGAGACAAACCTGGACTTTTGAAGGAGATCGACATGGTCCCAGGCAAAGGCCGGGCCATGGCCCAGCCAGGGCAGCCAATATGGCACCGTCCTTACGGGACGCGGACGACCCTCGGAGATCCCACGGGGACGACTCTGGAATTCGGTGATGAGACGAGTCACCACGCAGATGGAGACCAGTATAGCCACTATGGCTGGCCATCCGATAGACTTGAGAACATCGCCGACGAATCGTACAAGATTTCCTGGCGCTAACAAGTCATATTGTTCCATGGTAATATGAAGGAGGAAGAACCGTCCCGAAGACGGGGGCAGAATTGGGGAAAGGAAGGACGGGGGATTGCGATCACAGATGAGATGACATGGATAACCAAAGAAACACAGGAAGCACAATTTACACTGTTGATGAAGCAACGATTCTCATTCAAAAGGGGGAAGAATAAAGAAAAGAAAGATTTGTGCAACGCCTGAAGCATAAATAGAAATGAGAGTTTGATGCTTGCTTTGAGATGATGGCCAACTGAGTTATTCTGTTAACGTTAATTACCGTAACGGGCTGCTGTGACGCTTAGCTCAGCCACACCTGATCTCTTCCTGGTTTGCGTGGCTTGCGGCTAAAGTCGTTCCCGGTTGGTCTCACCTTCGTCTCGTTTACTCTGTACTATTTATGGCTCATCATTCATTCAGTGAAACAAACTAACTATTAGTATTATCAATGTTACCAAAATATACATCTTTCCTCGTGGTCAATGCTCGCGGCGCAACACCTTCTGTAGGATGGCACTCTCGTGCTCATACTGGCTGATCTTGTTCTGCGAACTTGCCACCTTCTGCAGGAGCCACTGAATCCGTGCGCTGAGCTCCCGGGGCTGCTTGGGGAGAGATCCCAATACCTGCAGCTCCTGCTCATATTTCCCAATGCTCTTGTTTTCACTGCTCAGCAGCTGCTTGACAATGTCCAGATCCAGCCGGCTACTCAGGGTCTTGTTCTCCGTTAACCGCTTGAACACCGCCCGATAGACGGGCTTGCCAGGCTTCACTGCGTCAGGACATCCGTTGACGGAACTGATTGCGATAAGCTCGGCTTGCTCAAGGGCTCGGAGGGTGGTCTCGCCGTTCTCCTTGAATAGATCGGAGAGAAGAACTTGATTGTACGGCAAAGTGCCATCCTGGGAGTGGGCTAGCGTCTTAATCAAATGCCAGGCCTGTTCGTGGCTCCACTGCTTGGATTCAATGTCAGGGTCAAAGACAAACATCTTCAAGATCTCGGATGCCGATTGTTCGATGATGCGACTGACTGCCGCTGTTTTATTTTTAGCCATACGCGCCATTGATCAGCCAAAGTGGATCCAACTTACCTCGGGGCGTTTCTCCAGACTCGATGCGCCGTGCCATGAACTCAAGGTCGGTCACTCGGCCTCCCAGCACTTCTATGCAGCTATCCAAGGTACCCAAGTCTCCTACCTCTTGCATGTTCTGGCCTGAATTGGCTCCATCCTTCGCCCCATGCTCAAGATGGCTGAGTACAAACTTTCTGCCCACGTCGAGCGAGCAGTCGCCCAGGGAAATGGTCCGGAACACTGAATTTGGCAAGGCTTTGCTCAAAGGTTTGGAGAAGGAAACGTCAGTAGTCAAGAACACTACATGAGCGATATTTCCGGTCGTGAGGCCTGCGGCCCACTCGGTGATCTTGTCGTACACCACGCTGCTCTCGGTGGCATTGTGCAGGAAGTTGTCGATGACTACGACGGGACGCTGTTCGGGGTGAGCTTCTAAGTACTCTTCGTCTGAGAGATGTGCCTCCTTGTCATCTTTCTTCCGATTGGACAGTGCAACCCTCTTCAGGGCAGTGGCAGTATTCTGCCAAATCTTGCTGAGCTGCGCATCCAGAGTTTCAGAGAAGCCGGCCTTGGTGCCAATCATGCCCTGCGCAGCTAGGTCGATAAAGCTGCTCATGCTGTTCATCCATGAGAACACAGGCCAATATCCGACCTGGCTAGCAGCACGGGCTATCTTTGCAGTATCGCCCTTGGCATCTTGAATCTGTTTACAATCGATGACGACCTTGTATTTGTAGTTTTCAAGGGCTCGGTCCAACACAAGCTCTCTCTTTCCCGTGCCTCGAGGGCCGTGGATGACGATGAACGTCTCGGCATTCTCCATCAGCCAGGACTGCAACTGCTTAATATCTCCCTGGCGATCCTCCCATATCGCAGTGAGACGGCGAGGGTCTGTCCTCTGGCGCCCGAAATAGATGATGTTGGCCTTGTTGGCCTGATTCCGGATCCATTGAAGGACACTGTTCTCCTCGGTTTGCAGAGTGGCCTTGATCTTCATTTCGATGAAGAAGGTGCGGATAGGGTCGAAGATGGTCACAGTGATGGCCGCAATGAGTGCAGCAATTGCAGGGATCACTATTCTCGGATGGTTCAGGATCCAGTCCTTGATGACGGAAAACTTGATCTTCCGCTCGTACTTGATTTTGATTCTCGTGCCGGACTTGCCGCCGCCTTCTTCCTCCGGGATAGTGAATCCGTGCATGCAGTTCTTGGCCATGACCGCGTACTTTTGCCGCGTGAACGACACAAAAGCATATCTTGGAGCGATCTTCGAATCGGTAGGTTGTCTCTCAATGTCCCTTAACTTTCCATATCTCCTGAAGAAAGAATACAACGTTTCCGTGGTCAGTTCCGTTGCGGCTCCATCAACGGAGCCTGGCAGGAACTCCACGCGCAGCCGCTGGCTTGGAATGCGATATAGATCCTCGATCCACGGTCTGCCATGCACATGGGCAACTTTGACCTGCTGGAACGGGTTGAACCAGGGCCGGATAGGATTGTGCTCCAGATGGTGTTGCACAGCGGTTACAATATCATTGTCCCGGACACCATCTTTGCGAACATATTTCACAAAAGCGCCGCCTTCTCTGAAGCGCGGAATGACTTCCCGGATGTCGACGTTCAGACTCTGAGGGAATACGCGACGGATTATATGCAACGGATCCGACGCCGCCAGATGGGGCCTGTTGATTCGTTTCAACGCCTCTTCGTAAGTTTTGTTCCCGCTCAGCGGTCCTTGTAGCAACCATTGTAACTTCGACGGAAAGATATCTATTCCCAACATGGATTGTTAGCAAGGCCTATAAATTTTCAAGAGTCCAGGCTCGTACTATTCACAAATACAAGACCCTCGTCGTCTTTCACGTCAATGTGCCCAGTCTCGATGAAAGAGGCATGTGACGAAGTACGGCGACTGACGATGAACGCCTTTGTCAAGGAAGGAACCGCAGGTGGTCTACTGAAACGTGCATGGAGTAGAGTTGCGCGGGGCACCACCGCTCGATAGGGAATTCGCATCATCTCTGTAGGCCTCGCAGCATTGTGCAGGAAGCTAGAAGAGTTCCTGAAGAACAAGAGACGCTGTTCCTGGAGTTCTCCAACTATGACGTCGACTGGATGATCTGGATCAATACATACTGTGACGGGTATTTCATCCTAGTTGGTGCGGAGAAGCTCCGCATTACCGTCACGGCGCGTTCGGGTGAAATTTAGGATTCGATCCGCTTTGAATCCATTCAACTGAATTCCGCCGTCTCTTCTTGTTCCCATCCAAACCTCCACCGGAGACCCCCATCCTATCCCCCATTGAAACCAGTCACTGCCATGGGTTGGTGGTGGAGCTCCGCCCCTAAAGAGGGCCAGTCTTCTGCGCCTGCTGCCTCCAGTCCTCCTGCCTCACAACCCCCTCCAGAGACCACCTCCGCACCTTCACAACCACCGCAACCCCGGACTCTCACCCGCGAGGAGCAGGCTGACGCAGAATGGAAGAAGTTGATCGCCAGTCTGGAGAGCGACATCAGTGGTCAAAAGCAGCAGCAGCAGCAGCAGACACAATCCGCTGGTAATTCCACATCATCCGACTCCACATCATCACCATCCTCCACCGATCCTCAAGCACCTCCCTCGTCCATTGCTCCCGAATCCCTCTACGATGATACCATGTCTTGTCGCTCCGCATTCGACTACGCGTTCTTCTGTCAGTCCTTTGGAGGCCAGTTTGTCAACGTCTACCGCTATGGTGAGCTGCGGTCTTGCAGCGAACACTGGGACAACTTCTGGATGTGCATGAAGACCCGCACGTTACCGGATCAGCAGCGCCGGAAGGCAATCCGCGATCACAACCGGAAGAAGGCCATCAAGTACAAGACAGGGCCCAGCAGCGAGGACGTGTGGGACGTGCGGACAGAGCCGGTGCAAAATGCGTTCTCCGGGGATTTCGCGGCCCTGGAACGGGAAATGCAGGCAGAGGAAGAAGAAGCAGCGCGGCAGAAAGCTGCTACAGCCTAAAAAAGAAGCCAACCAATCATGACCCCATCCATTTTTTCTCGTCTTTGTGTCAGATCTTTCACACATACCAAGGGATCTCCCAATTTTTTTCATGTTTCGATACCATGTAGATGGATACCTCTCCCCGAACTCGTGGGGCACGTTGTACAATAGCATTAGCAGAAATCAATCACCTATCATCATCTGAGCATATCAATTGTCTCAGCCACCAACCTCAGGACAAAGGAAATCTCCGTCTCCAACACACACAATAAAGCGACTTGCTTCCGACGGACAATCCCGATGTGTCTTTATTCATCCTGACTTGTCCTGTTCTGCGCAGCTCCTATATATAGACCTCACATAGCAACACCCTTGTCAACCATTAGCAACCACCCACAGCCAAACATTGGGCCACTCAGCACCATGGCTACGATATGAACTTCTTCAGGAACAATAAACACCTGATATGATGCGTCCTTTTGGATCTTTCACCAACCCTCTTCGCATCAAGCAGAGACTGAAATTACCATTAACCGCCACATATCGCATGCGCACGCTCTTCCATCGCATTTCCGCCATGCTAAGTACTACTACCAATTATACAGAAGACTCAGATTCTGGATCGACTACTATCAAGGCTAATAGCCTCAAGAACTACCCTACCGTGGACATGAATATAACCACGAATATGAAGGCGCTGGATACTATGGAAGGACTTGCCCACCCAGATCAACATCACCAGCTTCCTCACAGACCACCAACACCAACACCACCACCACCACCAGCATCAACATCAACATCAACATCAACATCAGCATCAGCATCAACATCAATACCAACACCACCAGCCCCAACAACCACCCAACCCCCATTTCCATTCCCATCCCCATCCCCCTTCACCCCTCACCACCCTCAATACCAACAACAACAACAACAACAACCACCCCTATACCACTTCCATCCCCCCAAATCCGTGACATGGGGTCCCATCACCGAAATCCCCATCTACTCCCCATCCCCATCTCCCTCCCCAACCACCTCAACCCAATCCTCCCCCTCCACCTCCTGGATCGACCTCAGCAGCACAACCTCCTCCACAGCCGCCTTAGCCTCCTCCTCCACCTTCTCCCCAACCATCCCCAATACCAGTCCACCAACAGCCCACCCCATCATCCACCATCCCCTCCGACCCATCCGCAAACCCCCGACTCAACTCGACAATGAAATGTTCTACCGCAACCTCTACCACATGGCGCAGATCAGCACGCTCCGGTTGAGCATCGTCTATGACGCACTGAGTTTCCTGGGCGGGGACTTCCTGGATCAGGTTCTCCTCATGGAGGAGGGGTATTTGATGCAGGTGGCGGTGATGCATGCGAGGCAGGCGCAGCAGAGGGATTTTGCGAGGTTTTCTGTTGCTGCTGGTGGGGGTGGGGGTTCTGTCAGGGGTCATGGTGGTGATTATAATAATGGTGGGTTTGGGGTGGTTATTCCTCGTCGGCCGAGTCCGGTGAAAGGGGGTCGGGTGGAGAAGAGGAAGATGAGGAAGATGATGAAACGGAGGAAGGCGTCCGATGTCATGGGGGCGGATTTCTGGGAGCAGGTTAATGAGAGGGAGGAGGGGTATGAGATTGATGAGGATGAGGATATGGATAGAGATTCGGTGTAGATCTGTCCATCCTATTCTATTCTGTTCTTGTCTTATACTGGTTGGGCTGGTGTTAGAAGGTTGTGTATATACCACGCAACTAGCATGCGTGAAGTATATAGGATTCAGGCGTATGCACCTACTCTGCGGAGTCATACATACTTTTAGATGGTAGTTCGGGTTTTTACTAATGCTTCCTTGTTTACTGGATGGGATAAATGGACTGAATCATGGAATTGATATGGTCATGAAGAGAATATGTACATCAAAATGTGTTGGATGGAAATCACAAACGCTCCGACACCTCGCACCTCTTTTGAGAAGGAACAGAACGCTGCAAATCATCCTTCAAAAACAGAAAACCAAATCAAATATAATAATTTGACCAGACAGTATCCCCTCTCCCCCCCCCCCCCCCCCCCCCCCCTTCTTTTTTAGAACTTCCATTCGGGACCATGGAGACAGACGCAACGTATCGTAGTTGAGATCAAAGTAAATGCCGTGACAGATATAAGCCACCCAACATTGCCTGGCCGAATCAAAAACACTTTTTCTCTTCTCGACATGGGAATTCGTAGATTCGTTGCTATCATGACGGAGGTTTTGTGCGGTCAACGCTAAAACCTGTCTAGCGGATTTAGCAGCAAGGCGCAAACCCTAATGGATTTACGCAGATACTGTCTGCTGAGCAGCCTGGGGAACGGCATCGATAGCGGGCCGGCGCACAATGCCACCAGTGACGGGGAGCTGGGAGCTGATGCCCATCAAGAAGGTGTCTACTTCACGGGCGCATTGACGACCTTCATTGATACCCCATACGATGAGAGACTGGCCACGGCGGCAGTCACCAGCAGCGTAGACGCCGGGAACGCTAGTGGAGTAATGTCCTGGCGGCGTCTTGACGTTCTTACGAGCATCGCGCTCGATTTCCTCGCCGAGGACTCGGTCCTCCGGTCCAAGGAAGCCCATGGAGAGAAGAACAAGGTCCGCGGGGAAGAATTGCTCACTGCCCTCAACGGTCTTCATGTCCCAGCCACCAGAAGCGCTCTTGGTCCACTCAACACGAACCGTGTTGATACCCTTGACACGGCCATTGCCGTCGTCAACGAACTCCTTAGACATGACACAGTACTCACGAGGGTCTTTGCCCATGTGTGTCTTGACCTCGGAGTGTCCGTAGTCAACACGATAGATACGGGGCCACTGAGGCCATGGGTTGTCGCGGGCACGCTCCGGCGGAGGCTGAGGCAGCAACTCGAAGTTGGTGACAGACTTAGCACCGTGACGAACAGATGTACCAATACAGTCATTACCAGTATCACCACCACCAATAACCACAACGTGCTTGTCCTTGGCGGAGATGTACGCCCCGTCGGCAAGGTTGGAGTCCAGCAAAGACTTGGTGTTACGGTGCAGGAATTGCATGGCGAAGTGAACACCATCAAGCTCACGTCCAGGAACCTTCAGGTCACGGGCCACAGTGGCACCAGTAGCAATGATAACAGCGTCGTTGGTCTGGCGCAGAGAGTCTAGGGTAATCTCATGCTCAGGGCCAACGGGGGTACCAGGAGCGAACTTGACACCCTCAGCAGCCATCAGGTCAACACGACGCTGCACAACCTTCTTGTCCAGCTTCATGTTGGGAATACCGTACATCAGAAGACCACCGATACGGTCAGCACGCTCGTAGACAGTAACGGTGTGTCCAGCCCGGTTAAGTTGGTCGGCAGCAGCGAGACCTGCGGGGCCAGAGCCGATGATAGCAACATTCCTGCCCGTGCGAGTCTTAGGAGGGCGAGGAACCATCCAGCCCATCTCGAAACCACGGTCAATGATGGCACATTCGATAGACTTGATACCCACGGGGTCTTCGTTAATGCCAAGGACACAAGCACCTTCGCAAGGAGCAGGGCAAACGCGGCCAGTGAACTCGGGGAAGTTGTTCGTCATGAGTAGCCGGTTGAGAGCATCCTGCCACTGGTTCTGGAACACCAGCTCATTCCACTTGGGGATGATGTTGGAGATCGGGCAGCCAGTGTCAGATTGACAGAAAGGCACACCACAGTCCATGCAGCGAGCGGACTGGTACTTGAGTTCATCCTCGCTCAGACGATTGGAAAGCTCAGCCCAGTCACGCGTACGCGTAGCTGGGTTGCGGTATTTCTCACTGCGCCGGTTGTACTTCATGAAACCCCTAGTCTTGTCCAAAATGAGGGCTGAGCGTTTCTTCTCGGTCTTAGAGTCGCTGATGCTATCTTCAATATCCAGCATCTCAACCTTCTTGGCATCTTCGGACTGAGCCTTGGGCTTCTCTGCAGGGACTGGAGTGCTAGGAAGCTGAGGCAAAGAGAACTCTGCCTTCTTGGCGGCTTCAGCCTTGGCAGCTTCCTCCTGTAGGATGCGCTTGTAATCTGTGGGCAGCACCTTGACGAAGTGAGGAAGGGCACGAGTGAAGTCCAACAGGATACGGGCGGCAAGCTCCGATCCGGTGTAGTGATGGTGATCCTCGATCAAGCCACGAACGAAGGCGATCTCTGCGGGATCTTCCAGGCCGGACACCTCAACCATCTCCATGTTGATCTTGGAGTGGAAGTCCTGCTTCATATCGAGGATGTAGGCGATACCACCAGACATACCAGCAGCAAAGTTACGACCAGTCGAGCCAAGAACAAGGACGCGACCACCAGTCATGTACTCACAACCGTGGTCACCAACACCCTCAACGACTGCGGTGGCACCGGAGTTACGGACAGCGAAACGCTCAGCAGCCATACCGCGGAAGAAGCACGTACCGCGAGTGGCACCGTAAAGGCAGGTGTTACCAACAATGACGTTCTCTTCGGCCTTGAATGCAGCACCACGAGGGGGGTAGATGATAAGGCGACCACCCGAGAGACCCTTACCAACGTAGTCATTGGCATCACCTTCGAGCTCGAGAGTGATACCAGGAGCAAGGTAAGCGCCGAATGACTGACCAGCGGAGCCCTTGATGTTGGCGTGGATGGTGTCCTGAGGAAGGCCTTCGCCACCATAACGGCGACTGACCTGGTAAGACAAGGTAGCACCCAACCCACGGTCAGTGTTGACAATATCACACTCGATTCTGCAAGGGAGGCCCTTCTCCAAGGCGAGCTCAGACTCGGCGATCAGCTTGTTATCGAGGCGAGTGTGCAAACGGTGGTCCTGCTTGCGGACGTTGTAGGTAGCGACGCCAGGGCGCAGGGAGTGGGCAGGGGTAAGAATGAGCGACAAGTCAATCTTCTCCTGCTTGGCATTCCGGATATCATCACGAACCCTGAGAAGTTCGGCACGTCCAACCATCTCATTCACGGTGCGAACGCCTAGCTTGGCCATGATAGCACGCATCTCGTTGGCGACATAGTAGAAGAAGTTGATCACGTGCTCGGGCGTACCCTGGAACTTGGCTCGAAGCGCCGGGTCCTGAGTTGCGATACCGACAGGGCAGGTGTTGAGATGGCACTAGGTGTGAAAGTTAAGTGTTAGCACGAGTCCATGCGAAAATACCATATTCATCTTACCTTGCGCATCATGATGCAGCCCATGGCGATCAGAGGGGTCGTAGCAAACCCAAACTCTTCGGCTCCGAGCAAACAAGCGACCGCAAGATCGCGACCAGTACGAAGTTGGCCATCAGTTTGCACAACAACACGTCCACGCAGGTCATTGAGAACCAAAGTCTGGTGGGTTTCGGCCAGACCCAACTCCCAAGGAAGACCGGCA